AGTGGTTTTTGAGGTTGATCGGCATTTCGATGATATCCAGCCCCTCTGGCCATAGAGAATATGTATGTGATTTTGCATCGTCTCTGTGTATTTCTTATGGACATATACTATGTACAGTGCAATGCAGAAAGATAGGCAGTTAAAAAGCAAAAATTGTTACTACGTCAAAGCGGATAAAGGCAACAAACTTGTTATCATAGATAAGGCGAACTATGATGAGAGAATGTTAAATTTAATCAACGAATGCGCCTATAAAAAAGTCAAGAAAACTCCTCTACCGAAAATGATTCGGGAAAGTGATACTTTGAGACAAAAAATAGGAAAAGTGTTTGGTGCGCGTCTGGCTCGAAATCTCAAAGTGTCGAATCCAAAAGTTGCCAGAATTTACGGTTTACCAAAGATACATAAAGCCGGAAACAAAATGAGGCCGATTGTATCTAGTATCGGGACCACTGACTATCTCATTGCTAAATGGCTAGTGGGAGAAGTCAAAAAACTGCCACCTTTTGAGAGTTTTTCAGTCAGAAACTCAATTGACTTCGCTGAAAAAATTGAAAATGTTGTTGTGAATTGTGATGAGACTAAAATTTCATTTGATGTGTGTTCTTTATTTCCAAGTATTCCAATTGATGTTGCATTGAAGGAATTTGAAAAATAATTTTAGAGCAAATTGATATTCCATTCGAACAAAAATCAGTTTATTACCAAGCAGCACGTATGTGTATGGATCATAGTTATTTTCAATTTCGTGATTCGCTTTATCATGTGTCGACTGGAACTAACATGGGAAATCCGCTTAGCCCATTGATTAGTGAGTTATTCATGTCGGCATTCGAACGAAAATTAAAACAAGAAAACTTGCTTCCCAGAATCTGGTGGAGATATGTAGACGATGTGTTCGCGATAATAAAGAAAGACGAAATTGACTCAGTGTTAAACGTGCTCAATAATCGATTCGATTCGATTAAATTTACGTGTGAGAGGGAGAATGATAAGTGTAAATTATCGTTTTTGGACATGGAATTGTCAACTTCTGTGGACAATAAAATTGATATTGCCATGTACCACGAACCCACTGACACCTTGAGAACAATAACTAGTGATTCAAACTGTAGCATGCAACACAAATTGGCTGCGTATCATTCAATGGTTCATCGATTGTGTCGAATGAAACTCTCAGCACAAAATTACATGACTGAATACGCTCGCATAAAACAAATGGCGAAAATAAATGGCTTCAAAGGAGATTTGGTCGACGTGTTGATAAAAAAACATTTAGACAAAATAAACAAATTTAATTTATCGACATTGTTTTCTAGTGGAAAGAGTTAGAGTTGCTTTGCCATATATCCCACAAATTATGAACAAGATAAAAAATAAGTTTCGTGAACATAATTTCTATTGACTAGATCGAGAGGAGAGTAAGTTCATCTGACTTTGTTACGAAAGAGGAGAGTAAGTTTCTTTCGACTCAAAAATGGTTAAAGGCGAGTATGTTCATTTTTGGCGGGTCCTCGCGGTTTTCCACGGTTTCCGCGGAACTGATAAGAGATAATAACTTGGTGTCTTCGGCAAAGTTGTAGCACTTGAGGTCTTCTATAACATTGCTGAAGACATTTATCTCTTATCTCTTATCAGTTCCGCGAAAGGCGCGAAAAATGATAAGAAAAAAAAAGTTCTATATAAAATTTGCTTTTTTATGTGCGCGATTTGCGCGCAACTGATAAGAGATAAGAGATAGATGTCTTCAGCAATGTTAGAGAAGACCTCGAGTACTACAACTTTGCCGAAGACACCATGTTGTTATCTTTTATCAGTTCCGCGGAAACCGTGAAAAACCGCGGAGGCTAGACGGGATGCCAACATACTTCCTTTTAACGCAGATAGAATCAACAGAAATCATACCTCCTCTTTTAAAATATATTCGAATTTTTTCACATACTCTCCTCTCGATCTAGTCAATAGATTTAACCATTGTGTATACGAATCAAACCAAAATAATGAATTTGTTGGGTTCAACCAAAGACACAATTGATTCTTTGCATAAATCTGGCATTTATGCTATTCAGTGCCCCGTTTGTATGTGTGAATACATTGGACAAACGAAACGTAACATTTCAGTTCGTTTCCGTAAACATTGTTTGTGCATAAAAAACAAACAGGGCTACCGCTCTGCCTTAGCATTACATGCATTGAACAGCGGTCATTTGAATATCGACATAAGCAACTTACGGCTGGTGAAAGAGATAGGCGACGCGCGCAAATTAGACGCATACAAAGTTACTTTATTCAGAGGAGCAACAACGCATTGAATCTGGATAACGGGAACATCGAGTCAAATTTGCTGTCTCGTTTGCTATGATGCTACACCGACCGATGTTTTTACGTGACAACCGACGACTTTTCTGTTTAGTCGTGATGCTGATGATGGTGCGATAGTACCGAAATGCATTCAAGGTACTCTTTTCAAATTCTTTTGTTTTAAATGAATTGAAAATATTGAATTAGTGAAAACAATAAGGTGTGATTCAATTGTTTGTTGATTTATCGGTTTTCACATCGCTCAAAAACATATTTATTAAATAGGCAGATTTGTTTACAAACAACAAAAAATAAACAAAACAAAAATCCCTATAACTAATGAATTGGCAATATAAAACTAAATGGCAGACATTTTATATTTCTTATGGACTGTAACTATGTGAAGTGGCAATGCGTGGATATAGGCAGATTTGTTGACAAATAACGGTAAATGAACAAAATAAAAATCTCTCTCGGAGTCTGTTGTATACGCTTCTCTGTCTGTTTTCTTGTGAATGCAAGGGACAAACACTATGTGTGAGAATCGTTAAATGAACAAGCGCGCGTCACAGCGAATATGCACACAGCCTACAGCTGCTGTTCAACAGATCTGTTCACCAGCAGCGCTACATAGCCAGCAACTTCAATGCTCTGATTTTTGCGAGAAAAAAAAATTGAAGTTCGAATTAACGGGAAGAAATCGTTCAAATTATCGTGCGAAAACCGAGATTCGGATTATCGCAAATTCGAATTATCGATCCTCGACTGTACTTGCTATTGTTTTATACGTATAATATCAACAAAGACATGAATTAACAATTAAGATGTTTATCCGAGAAATACATATGCGCGTTAGACTGCTTTTAAAAAAACTGGGTTTCAAAAAATCGTCGATCGATTTTGGAGAATAAAAAACAAGAAAGTTCAACAAACATTCAAAACATTCTCGCTCTACACTACGCGTCTTTTAGAACCTACAAAAGGACTCATTTTGGGTCTAGTTTGTTATTGCATAACAAACTATAATTGAGCCGTTACATAAAATGTACTACATCACAATTTATGGATGGATTAGATAGATAGCATACAGAGAACAATAATGTTCAGGTCACCAAGAATCAAAAAATCAGCTAAACTTCTGTATTGAATTCAATGCTATCACAATAACCAATAATCTACATCGTGCATCATAATGTATGGAAATGAACATTTTCAAGTATCGTATTGGTAATAACGTTTTAATCTGAATTTGTAGTTAGTCACAGATAATAATTAAACATAAAAACAGAATCTGTTTTGGAATTAAAAAATCCAAAGCTTAAACCCCGATGAAGAAAAAAAAACGAAGTTAATGTACATTTTACAATGTACGTTTCATGTAACGGTAAAAAAGGTTTAGCACTAAAAACCCGAAAACGTAAAGAAACACATTTTCTGAAAACTCATTCAGTTTTTTTAAAAGCAGTTTGTATATGTACTTTTCGGATAAACATCTTGATTTTTAATTCAAGTCTTTGTTGATATGCATGCTACTAGGCATCTCGTGGCGAGTAGAAGATTATTTAAAAGTTCATTTTAAGAGATTGAAAGAAAAAATATTGGAATCCATGCATTTGTTCACGCAGTTCAATCTGAAAATCGAAATCGAAATCGAAATGGAATCAAATATTATTCAACCTCGAGCATTTTACGCTTTTCTGCAACGACCAGTTCAATAGGTGAATGATACCTTTGGCCGAGAAAACTCCACTTTGGCTTTCCGGCGCTGTGTTGGTAAAGAAAAAAATGATAAACTTAGTAATGTGGCTGCTTAAATTCTCTTGTCGGCAACGCGTGCAAAACATTTTGGGCTAATATGTCTAGCATCCTTTTTTTTCATTCGGTAACCATATGAATTTTATTTTATCATGCAAATGAGAATTTCGTTGCGAGAGAATTCTGATAATAATTGAGAAACATATAGAGTTGGGTAATACTTGTACGTGTTCGGCTGTTGACCTACGGTTTAAGAAATGTTTAAAGGGAAAAAAGGTTGCTTAATTGCACATGCTATCATTCTTTCATTAAATTTTTACATTTAGATTGTTTCTATGAGCGCTTAAAAACGAAAACCACCCCTATTCGGCTCAGATTTATATCATGTTTTTTTTATTTCATATTCAGTCTTACGTCCTCTCATTGAAACAGTTGATTATTTGTCGAGATTGCATGCCGCAATCGTACCAGTAAAGCTAAAAATAAAGACCAGCAGACAGCTAACAATTGCATCAAAACCTTCAAAACTCTGGAGTTTTGCGATACGTGGATTTTCAATATAAATTTTATTATTTCAGAATTATTGGATTTGAAAAAAAGATGCATAGATATGTGAGTAGTTTAAACTTATTCTTTTCAATATCAAATTCAAAAAAATATTGCTTTTATTTAATTCACAAGAAAATCCATATAAATTGTTCAAATAATTTTGAGATTTCGACAACTGTACGTTGCTGTCGTTGTATTATTTTTCTGTTCATCTCTGTTTTCGTTTTCGCAAGATTTGCAACTTAGCAACGGATTCTGGACAGCAACAGATTCTGAGCTGACAGCAGTAGATATGGCATGACGACGACAATTTAGAAATTCCTCTTTGAACAGCTGAGCATTGTTCTCTCTCAATTTGAATGCACGACCGAAATGGAATTTATATACATTTCGCATATTGCACAAAAGACTAACATTGCAACGTTTTAAATCGCATTTTCAATTTTGAAACGAAACAAATGAAGAGAATATAATAATCGATGAGCCAGCTGTTCTCGGCCACAGTACAATAATGAAGCTGAAGCTTGCTGTTGTTTTCGTGACCATTTCACTCTTGGTTATTACCTTTTTTTTATTAATTTTTTTTTATCCTATCTATTGAGTTTGCGTTTATTTCTTAAATTTTTATGCTGAGTTTTACAAATGTGATTCCAGAATTTTTTGCAGAAAATAAAAATAAAATTTCGTTCAGATAAAAGTCAATCCACAGCAAAAAATTTGTAGTAAAATTTGTAGAATATTTTTTACAGTTTTTTATAATTTCAATTAAAATTGTGGTTTTAATGAATCAAGAAAATTTTAAATAATAATGTTTCTGTTTGATTTTTTTTGTGAAGGCGTTAGCTCAAGGTTGTGGTGATAAAAAACCTTCGCCGAAAGGAAAAACCCCACAGTGTAGCGCAGCAACATCACCAAAGCCACATAAAAAAGGTAAGAGAAAATACAAGATTCATGCGCTATAAATAATTGTGGAGAAGAATGATTGAAGCAAAAGCAGTCGAGGTAATGTTGCAATCTGTTTTTACCTTTTTCGCGCAAAAATATCTCCAGATTAATTCATTAAACCAACAAAGAACCGATTCAGAATGTCTGACGTCGAAACGCAACAGAAAGATTTCATTTTGTTTATTTTATTCAATTTTGTTCATTCGCTTTTGCGGAGATTCTTCATAGCACGCGTATATCATTGACGCAGCAATCAATCTGTACACCAGTTGTGCCAGTTGCTCAAATTTTTCGAAACAATTCCATTTTTGGATATCAATGAAACTCTAGTTTGCCACTCTGATATTAATCTGATTGGAAAGAAAATCATCGAAATTCATACAGTCTTAAAATTTGAAATTGGTTTCGACTTTATTTCGAATGTTGAGCTTCTTTCTTGTTTAATTTTTATAAGAACTTTTAATGGAAAAAATGTCATCTTACAATTTCCCAATAGACGGACATCATGAGAAAGGTACATCGTTTTTTCAAGTATTTGTCATTTGATGTAGTCAATATTGATTTTAACACAAACAAATATTTTCAATAATTTTCAACTGAAGATCATCATGGAAATATAAAAAAAATCATTATCATCAGAGAGATCGGTAAGATAAAAGTGCCATTCTATCGAGGGGGTCACCATGGAGGGGGTCATGGAACTAGTTCCAGTTCAAGTTCCAGCTCTAGCGGTGGTATGTTTTATTGAAAATCTCACAGAAAATATTCTAAACATTTGTGTGGATCAATTTTGAAATTTCATTTGTTCAAACGGTCGTTGAATTGTTGAATTTAATATTGTTGAAGAAAAAGATGAATATTCAAATCTTGGAAAATTTGCCGAAACGACTTCGGGGAGGGCGATTTTAATTGTAGATTTTATGTAGTTTAATGTAGTGTTTTCTGCAACTATAAACAATTTGCCCAATTTCTATTTTTGTGTATAAATTAAAAACAAATGAATCCGTTTCATTCTAAAGCTCAACATAATGTTTGGCAAGAAAAACAAACAAATAAGTGGACAGTCTATCCATGAAACCAAAAATAATTTCGCTATGAAATCTTTTTGGGAGAAAATTATGATTTTTGTCAAATTTTATATATATAATATGACGGCCTGAGAAGAAGAACCTTTCCTACCAAACCTGTGCGCAGAACACAAACACAGAAATTTTTTAGCCAAAAGGCGAACAGCAAATTTGCGAGCGCAAAAACCTAATATATTTACAGCGAGCGCAAAAGTATAACAGGCCTACTTATACGGAGTTTGCATGCTAGTAGGCTTGTTATACTTTTGCGCTCACTGTAAATATATTAGGTTTTTGCGCTCGCAAATTTGCTGTTCGCCTTTTGACTAAAAAATTTCTTTGTTTGTGTTCTGCGCACAGGTTTTGTAGGAAAGGTTTTTCTTCTCAGGCCGTCATATATATTTGCCACTGGTGTTTAAAAATCATTAATTTGATTTCAGACCATAAAGGAAAACATAGGAAACATGGAAAACACGGGAAAGATGGCAAAGATGGCAAAGATGGCAAAGACGGCAAAGATGGAAAACACGGAAAACATGAAAAACATGGCAAGGATGGCAAGGATGGTAAAGATGGTAAAGACGGCAAAGATGGAAAACACGGAAAAGATGAAAAACATGGCAAGGATGGCAAGGATGGCAAGGATGGCAAGGATGGCAAGGATGGCAAAGCTGGTAAAGATGGCAAAGATGGGAAAGGAGGAGGAAAGGGCGAGCCTGGTCATCCAGGTGAGCCAGGTAATCCGGGCCAGCCAGGACATCCAGGAGGTAAGTTCAAATGATAACTGTTGAAATAAGTATTCTAAATCATTACACGTTAACTTTATGCATTTATTCCATCATTTCCTTATGTGCCGCCTCTAATTGCACTTAGTTTCCAATACGCTTGTTCAAGCTCTTATTCAATATAATTGATTATTTTAGCCTATCATATTTCAAATTGAAGTATATTATTACTTTGAAATTTCATTTGCCCCAGTTAACAATCGTTTTGGTTCGTCTTCTGAATGAACCATTTTCCAAAAATTATTAGTATTTCATCTCATTACTTCACTTTAACCTGCAAATGGAATCTATAACTTGATTTTCTCATCAAAAACTGAACAATTAATAAAATTTAATATTGTCGATATGTTAGCTGAGACAAATGAAATGTCAAAGTAATAAGATATTTCTATAAATTGAAGTGGAGATGATGTAAAATCGGTATATACTCATTAAAAAAATCCACATCAAAAATGTGCACGAAATGTTCTCCATATTAGTTTGGCTCACACCAACTTCACATCAAATTTGTGTCCATGTTTGGTGTGACTCAGATTTTCACACCAAAAACTTCATACAAAACGAGCATATTCTTGATGTGACTGACAATACAATGATGTTTTGGTTTTGCCGTTGCAACGGTCATTTATGATTACGATGCATTACCTACCATTGTATTGTCAAGCACATCAAAAACATGCTCGTTTTGTATGGAGTTTTTGTTGTGAAAATGGGTACAAATTTGATGTGAAGTTGGTGTGAGCCATACTAATATGGAGAACATTTCGAAACAATCAGGTCCTTTCGTTCCAATTCAAATAAATGTGGTAATGGCCATAAATTTCTAACATAAATCATATGCTATATATGTTTTATTTTCCAAACAAACATGGATAAACAGCTCATGTTGTGAATATTTTGCGAAAAAAAAATCTCTTTGATTGTCACAGTTTGTATGGGTTGCTAAAACAGAGTGTGTAATGTTTTCACATGAAAGAAGATTGTGATGAATGTGAAACTCTTTTCCGGTTTAATTGTATTTTTCTTTCAAATTTTTAACAATAGGTGGCCATGGAGGGGCTGGAGGTAATGGAGGATCTGGTGGGGCTGGAGGTGATGGCGGCAAAGGAAAAAAAATTAAACACGGAAAAAAACCACCGCTTTGTAAGCGTAAAAAGGCCAAATGTAATTGTGAATGCCGTTGCAGAGATTTCGAGCATTTAGGACCACATGATGCTTAATGAGTAGACTTCTGCCAGTCAATTAGATATTACAAGCCCCAGTAGATGACTGCAGACAATGTTTATTTCTATTTTATTAATTTCTATTTTGTTCGCATATTCCAGTGTCTTACTTTTCTGTTCAAACTATTCATAATTTATAAGTCTAAATAAATATCAAGCAGTTTATGCATAAGTGATATAAGTGATTTTATTTCTTTCATTCATTTCGGAACAAATTGAATGGCAGCCGAAACTAAAATCTGTCGTCTTTGTTTGTTTATTATCATTTCGACAAAATAAAGTATACAATAATGGAAAATGTCATACTACTAAATGAATCTGGAAGTGGTTTTATTGTTGGTGGAACCGAAAACTACACTGTCATGTAGTGGGCCTTGCAATGAACTGTAAACGAAACACGACAAAAAAAATGTACTTTAGATTTTGATCATAGCAATGAAACAACAACAAAAAAAACAAATAATTACCAATAAATTCGGAGACGGGATCGTTATCACCCTCGCCTCTCATTGAGCCCATGATTTCCTCATTTTCAACCATTGGCAGAAACAGTTGCACAAACTCCGGCGAATAGGGATGCGTTATCGTTTCGAGTACCTGCAAATGAATTTGCGTACGTGCACATATTTTCCATGGAAAATAAAAATAAAAATCGACATCAATTCAAAACAACAACAATAGAATCGAGCCAGAATTAATATATTTACCTCGGTTACAAAATATCGAATGAGCGATGTGTCAGTGTCGCCCTTTTGACAGCATTGTTTAATATACTTGACGACAGGCACCACACAGCCTCTTGTCAACAGATTTATCATACGATCCAAAAGCATTTTTCGCAATTCCAACTGAAAACGATGATGATATCATATTTTTAATTACACCGTAAAATCAAGCACAAATGAATTGACCAGATTGCCTATGAAATCAAGGGGAATATAATAAAAAAATCATACCTGCACCAAAATTTCCAATTCATCCTGCTTCGATTCAAATAATTTGATGAGCAACTTTAATATTTGCTGATGTAGTGATGGATGTACATTGGCCACTTCATCGAGGATGGCTAAATGCATGGGACAACTATCGGTGGACAGTTTGAAATACGATGATTCAGTGACAGTGTTTTCAACCCAACGAATAACACCAACACCAACAACCGGGAAACGAATGCATTCATACAGCGTTTGAAGTTCGGCAATCAATTCAGTCGATCCCAGGTTAACGTTGCAAATTCCATGCACCTTTTCAATGGCTTGCATCGTGCCCTTCAATTCATCTTTGTTGATATTACGTTTGTTCGCCTTTTTCGTGAATGTTTCGGAAACGCTGGCCGCGTATGCCAACAGGTAAATGTATTTGCTTTTGTGTTCTGGATTGATTTTAACACCGGTACGGAAGAGTGAATCGACAAGTAGATCGAGGAATTGCGGATTTCGAATCAAATCAATGGGCGGTGGATCAGACGTTGAATAGTTTCGAAAGAGAACAGTTATGTCCGCTGGATTTAGTGTATTTCGCGATAGCATTGATGATAGCGCTTGACACGCTTGTGGATATGCGGCCGATCCATTCAGCGTCATCGTAATTGGTGTCACATTGTGATTACTATTTACAACAATAGAAAACAATGAGCTCATTTAGATTATATGAAGAATTAATTACGAGAAATGGCATTTTCGAACAAAAATCTTGATTTCAAGGGAAAACGTCTCCATTGAAAATGTCTGAAAATAAGCTTTGCTTACTTTTGAAGTGCATATTTGGTAATTTCCTGAGATAAACGCTTCATGTTGAATCCGCCTTTTGGCTCCTGAGACAGCACTTGAACCAACACTTGACTGTAAACATATGTGTGTTGTCCATGACACACCATTCTCTATGGAAAAATTAGAGAGAAAAAAAAAACGCATTTAAGAAACTAAATTGCTATGATAAATGAACAAAATGGTACAATATTCTATTGACTAACCGCGCATTCTTCGATGTTTTTTTGGACATCATCTAGATTTGTGAGGAATTTGATGATAGATGTTTTCAGTACGCGCGAATAGACTTCAATTTGTTGGGCGGCTGTTGATATGGAAGTGATTTCACTCTGATAACCAGCATCGGATATCAATTTGATGGTGAAGTTCAGCATCAAACAGTCGGGATACTCTTCAGCTAAACGATAAATTAGCGAACGCCATGTGTGATGGTCTATCATTTCAGTCAACCAGGCTGGTGTCTATGACGAATCAACATTCGAAAACGATTAGATATTTTTTAGAACGAGCAGCACATAGTTCATATTTTGGTAAAACAAGTATTCTAATGATGAACAAAGCCATTTCAATTATGGATTTTGTGTTAATTACCTCTCCCTCTTCCGTGAAGATGGTATCGGCTTTTTTTGGATCGAATGTGCGTAAAATCATGTCTTTCAAGTGATTTTCAACCATGGCCTGTACGTCTGTAACGCAAACACCCGCTAAAATTAACCACTCGGCCAGCAAATTTGCCATTTGCGCGACAGCTGTGTAGTTTTGTGACAGCTGATTGATGACTTGCTCGGGTGTGCCACCAGCTTGGAAGTATCTAAGTAGAAGAAAAAAACACGTTGAAAAAAACAGAAATTGTTCAACGGGGGGAAAAATGATACTGGTCTGGTTATGACGATTGAGTTTAGTCACGGAATTGTCACATATGTAATGGTCTTTAAAGAGACAAATTGCACTGAAATTCAAAATTGGACCTTTTGAGCTGTGTAAAAATGCCGGGTTCCATAATATAATCGGGTGTGCAAAATTTCGATAGGCATTCGTCAATGACTTCCTGTGGATTTTCCATGGGTTCGTCGGTGTGTTCCATCTTAAATTCATCAAAACACCATTGTGTTATTCAAACAGTGAATGAAAGCTGGTTCCATATTTTCAACTCCAAATAAATATTACCTCGTCGTCTCTATGTCTACCCCAGCCATCATCAGCGATATCTTCGTCCATCTTCATATCAAAGCTTTTATCCATCGTCGCCACCAAGAGGTCAGTTCAAAAAAGGGTTGAAAAAAGAAACTTTGCTTGTACACAAAAATAAAATCGGCATCTTCTCACATAAACGAAGCGTTGCTAAAGTCGATCTGTTTTCTTCTGTTTACATCTGTCAAAATGCCATAATGACGCCATATTGAATTGGCGCTTGTCAAAGATTGTACTAAATTAGTGTTGCCAGCGATTGAGTATGTACGAAAACAGGGAGAGAGTGAGAAAGATTCAAACACATTCGTTTTTAAACACCAAAAATACATATCTTTATTTATCAACTTGAATAAATGCGTGATGAAACATTATACATTCAAACTCTATTTACTTTTTTTCGTAATTTATTGATTGACCAAAATGAAATTTTCAAATTTGTATTTATAATTGAAATTATCACGATATATTGGTATAATAATTGATTGTGTTTTTTTTGTGCAGTAAGTTAGTGCATATAGCGTTTAGCAACGATTTGTTCGTTTTTCCTTCTATTTGAGAATTGTTTAAATGAAGTAGATAATGCACATGAATGCCATGTAGAGAGTGATTGCGAAATGAATGAAGAAGCAAATAGCTCGTGCTGGTTGCGGAATAACGTAAATTGCATAGACGAATGTATGGGCAAAGCGAGCGACGGTAGTCACTCTGAACAGCCATAAAGCAACCATTTCGTTCGGGTCAGTCAACACATAGAATAGGCCCACCGACAAAAACGGCAAGATATTCTCCATGTCGTTGAGATGAGCTCTGTGAAATTTGGAACAAATTCAAATTAGTTTAATCTAGAGATGGTCGATGTTCTTGAATTATATTTTGTATTCCTTACCTTCGAACCCGTTCAACATCGTCATTTCCACTGCTCACTTCAGATGCCCGTAACGTACCCAAATCCTCTGGATTGGGAGTTGTCTATAAATAACGAACAAATTAGCTCATTCATTGTACTATATTGAACTCAAGATATTTGAAATTTCTATCCTTTGTGTACTTGTTGTATGTTTTAATAGTTTTTTTTGGGTTTTTTGTGCATTTTTAATTTAAAAAAATGAATTTCAAACTACAACAATAACAAAAAATGTGTGTTTTAAATTATTCATCAAATCTAGTTAAGAACCTGTGAATATACATACATAGATGTAAGCAAAATAACAACATCTTAACCTAATGAACTCCAAAACCAAAACAATTTCAAGTCAGAAAACAAACCTTTGTTCTAAATCGATGGAATGCGGTTAATGTAGCCATGAGTAGAAATTTGATAACCAAAACACTACTCCAGAAAAGAAATGCCCGAAAGACGGTATTGTCTTTGTCAAGCAATTGATAAGAAAATTGCACTGCTTTTACGTTATCCATTTTTTTTTAATTGGAACGATTCGGATTGGACTTTCGAACGCAGAAAAAATCAAGTTATAACTAATAAACGACTTGTGTACACCAAAAGATTTTTTTGTTTACTGTGGATGTGGACAATAAATGGAATATGTTCGTGCTCTACACCAAATCTTTTGTCAAAAAAACAAACTGGCATACACGACCTTGACAGTTAGATGTTTATTTTTACACACCTCAGACGTACGTATGAAAATGATTCGATGAAAACTTGTTCTCTTACATGTATATGTACGATTATTAATGCTAAATGTCATGATGATTTGCTTTTTTCATCAATCATTCGTGTTCTTGTATGTTGAGTATAGGTAAACTGCTTTATTGCATATCTATTTTCTGGGATATTAAAACATAATTAAATGCCACTTCCGCACTTGATCATTGATAACTGTTATCATATCGATTTTTATTGGATAATAAATATTTCACAATTATTTGCTATAGAGTACAACTGAAACAGCCATGTAGATTGCGATGAAGTATTGAATGAACCATGTGAGTGCTCGAGCTGGTTGTGGAATCACAATGACGGTATAGACGATGGTGTGAGCAATACGAGCCAAAGCTGCCAATTTAAAGAGAGTCGACGCCACGCCAACCGATGGATTGGTTAATACATAGAACAAACCAGCAAATAGATACGGCAAAATATTTTCCAAATCATTTAAATGACCGCTGAAAAAACGATTACATATTCGGTTTAATTTGATTGAAGTTCAATTGTTTTTTTTTTTTTTAATTGGTTCAATATCTACCGTCGAACGCGCTCAACATCTGGATCATTCGTATTCAGTTTTACATTACGATGACCAAGCGCTTCGGCTATTTTCAGATCTTCGGAATTGACAATCGTCTTTACATATGAAAAAAGAATAAATTATTCAGATGCTCTTTGAAAATTTGATTTCTTTTGAACGAAAATCAGCATGAAAATTACGTACGTGGTTTTTGAATCGAAAATAGCCTGTCCATATGCTCATCAGCATGCACTTGATCACCAAAATAGCGCCCCAGTACGCATAAGAATCGAATACTGGGTTGGAAAAACTCAACAAATCTAAACTCGCGTCTGACATCTTTGGAAGTAACTTTAAAACTGAGAATAGAACACTGTGTGGAATGAACGCTGCTTGTCAAGTGATGACACAAAACTGATTGTTAAACATCACGATGACTAGAGAAATTCAAGTGTTTAGTCAACATTGTTTACTAATAAGACAAAAGACATACAAATACAAACGGCAACCATGTTCGGTCAGAACACGATTTTCATTTATTCATCATATATGATTTATTAAAGTTTGTTGCGTGTGTGCGTGCCGGTTTTGTTCAGCATAGTTAATGACATTTCGATTGCATATTCTGGTTGATAATCTTAGAAATATATGGAATTTAAGTTCATTTGCTGTAAAGTACAACCGAAATGGCCATGTATAACGCGATGGCATAGTGTATAGCCCAGGCGGTACCTCGGGCTGGTTGTGGGATCACAATAACAGTGTAAACAATGGTGTGAACGATACGAGCGAGAGCTGCTACTTTGAACAGTGTTTTGGCCAGCGATACCGATGGGTTCGTCAGTACGTAGAATAAACCGACGAACAAATACGGCAGAATATTTTCCAAGTCATTCAAGTGGCCTCTGTAAAACCGAACGCACAAATTATGTTTCGATACCGAAATATAAGATCATTCAATGGGAATAGAAAATTTCGTTACCTTCGAACCCGTTCGACCTCTGGATGGCTGTGATTTACTTTGATTTCACTACGGGCACCAACAAACTTGTGTATCAACACATCTTCTGGACTTATTGGAGCCTTTTATCATCGAAAAACAAATGGAAATGGATCAGAAAATTATTTTAGTATCAATTTGATACAGAATTCAATTCGATGGTACGTACTTTGTTTTTAAATCGAAAATAGCCTGTCCATATGCTCATCAGCATGCACTTGATCACCAAAATAGCGCCCCAGTACGCATAAGAATCGAATACTGGGTTGGAAAAACTCAACAAATCTAAACTCGCGTCTGACATCTTTGGAAGTAACTTTAAAACTGAGAATAGAACACTGTGTGGAATGAACGCTGCTTATCAAGTGATGACGCAAAACTGATTGTTAAACATCACGATGACTAGAGAAATTTAAGCTTGGACGTATCACAGTGCGGAGGAGCGTATAAAACTAGTTTTGAACATGTAAACATTGTTTACTAATAAGAGAAAAGACATACAAATACAAACGGCAACCATGTTCGGTCAGAACACGATTTTCATGTATTCATCATATATGATTTATTAAAGTTTGTTGCGTGTGTGCGTGCCGGTTTTGTTCAGCATAGTTAATGACATTTCGATTGCTTATTCTGGTTTATAATCTTAAAAATATATGGAATTTAAGTTCATTTGCTGTAAAGTACAACCGAAATGGCCATGTATAACGCGATGGCATAGTGTATAGCCCAGGCGGTACCTCGAGCTGGTTGTGGGATCACAATAACAGTGTAAACAATGGTGTGAACGATACGAGCGAGAGCTGCTACTTTGAACAGTGTTTTGGCCAGCGATACCGATGGGTTCGTCAGTACGTAGAATAAACCGACGAACAAATACGGCAGAATATTTTCCAAGTCATTCAAGTGGCCTCTGTAAAACCGAACGCACAAATTATGTTTCGATACCGAAATATAAGATCATTCAATGGAAATAGAAAATTTCGTTACCTTCGAACCCGTTCGACCTCTGGATGGCTGTGATTTACTTTGATTTCACCACGGGCACCAACAAACTTGTGTATCGACACATCTTCTGGACTTATTGGAGCCTTTTATCATCTAAAAACAAATGGAAATGGATCAGAAAATTATTTTAGTATCAATTTGATACAGAATTCAATTCGATGGTACGTACTTTGTTTTTATAGCGAAAGTAGCTTGTCCACGGGCTCATGAGAAAGCATTTTATTACCAAAATTGCGCCCCAGTAAGCGTACGAGCTAAAAACTGGATTTGAAAAACTCAATAGGTCCAAATGAGCGTGTGCCATTTTTGAAAGTTGCGTTGAAACTAGGGAATTAGCACAAAGTCGCAAATTACTCGCTTTGACTGAATCGCAAAAAAATTGACTGAATCGCAAACATCACGATGACAACAGAGATTTTGACATTAAGTACGTCAAAGTGTTGAGTACAGCAAAGCCGGGTTTATTTAAAAGTGTAAACATTGCCAACTAAAAGACGAAAAACGCAAAGTTTCACCGTAATCAAATTAAAAATTGGCTTGAAAGATTTTTTTCCACATGAAATACGAATTATGGCCGAAATATGAAAATGAAACACGAGCAATTGCCGATAAAACGTGACAAAACCAATTGTCAATCGCTTCTTCTTTGGGTTCTAAAAGTGTATAGTAGTACACTCTATACTACAGAGACCACAAATATTCTTATCTTAAGTACACCGAAAAGTATTGACTCTATTAAAAGCCGGTTGTTCGATATGTGTATTTGTAAGATTGAACTGTGTGTTTCAATGTTACTGCTTCGTTCGAATATTATGGAAATTTCTACCTGTGATTCAAGAAAATCACTGTGTAAACCAATCATTCACTTTATGCAATATGAAGTCACGTCATGTCGAACAGAACTAGCATGAAATATAGTCATATTGCTGTTATCAATTCCAGAAAAAAAAAGTATTTTAAGCATTAATTCATTTATTTTTAAACATTATAGCTGATAAGACAATCGGACGACTTTTAAAAAACAACGTACAACATGACCTCTAATTCTCTCTTTTCTAATTCTTTTGTTTGTACAATATGATCGGGTTTCCGTTAGTTGTACTAGCTCTTAAACATTTTGAGCAAAGTTCAATCAATTATAATTGTTTCTAATTAGAAAAGGTGATAGAGAACAGATACGCCCATGTAAATGGTGATGATATAATGAATGGCGAAGGCCAGAACACGTGCAGGCTGTGGAATCACAACGATTGCATAGACTACGGTGTGAATGATTCGGGCGATGGCACCAATTTTGAACAGCAAACAGGCTGACAATGTTGACGGTTCTATGAGTACATACAACAATCCGATGAGAAAAGCTGGCAATATGTTTTCCATGTCATTGCGATGTGCACTAGAAAATGGTCAAATCATAGAGAAGGTCATTTCAATACAATACAATGAAATCAAATCAATGGGAAAAAAAGTCTCAAAGAATACCGTCTAACGCGTTCTACTTCCTCGTTATTGAAATGAACATTTCGTCGACCACCATCTTCGGGATTGGCAAACGTCTGTGAATGGGGCACGACATGAGAACGAAGAAATTGAAATAAATGCCAAAATTCAATGTTGGATTTTAATCAACAACAAACCTGGTTTTTAAAGCGAAAAATTGCTGTGTGCATCGACAAGTACATCATTTTCAACGCCAATGTAACGCTCCATAGTGTATAGGCCAGAAAAACTGGATTCTTGAAATCGATCAATTGGTATGCCAATGTCATTTTTCTGATTTTACAATTTTTCTGTCGGTTTTGGTTTTCGCAAACGCGGTTTCACACGGTGAAAATCACACTAATTAAACAAATGAACTTGACTGACCAAACACCGGCACGATACTGCTGTGGAACAGTGGACGAACGAACAGCAGCGCAACAAGTGTATTACATGGCATGATGTACACGCAATTTGTCGATGTTCGGTCGAGACTTTGTTTATTGTTCGCTTCATTAGGCTCACGCAACTGAGCGTATTTTCGTGTGCGTGTGTTGTCCATTAAACCGGTGTATATGTCTACCATTGTATTGTTAGTGGACAGATGATTATGACGACAATCGGTTTGTATACATTCGAAACGTTTAATTTTTTTATTTACATGCCGTTTGAATGTATGACTTCAAATCGATAGACATCACCGTATTGATGCTATCATACTGTATTAATTTGACATAATAGAATTAGAATATTTGTAATGAAATCGAGCGATATATCCGAATATCGCTTATTTAATTATGTATTAAATGTTTGTCCACTTAATTGTATTGCATGTTGAACGATCTGAAAATGTATTTCCTTATGCATTTTAGACCGAAACACTATTCGTTTAGTTGTATTTGGACATGTGCTAGGATTCGCACAAATTTTAATCAAAGATTGACTCACAACAACTGGCCCACTTTTGCAGAATGAACATTGAGACATTTTTTTTTATTTCAAAGCGTTTTCATACGTGTTTCAAGCAGGCTTTTTTATGCGCTAAATCCATTACGCTGAATAAATTCATGCGATAGATTTATGCGATAAATGTGATGCGCTCGCTTTGCGGTGAACGAGTTTTGTTCCTCTTCACTACCGCTTAGCGATGCGTTCACTGCAAAGCATGAACGTTCATGCGTGAATAACTGAAGAGCAACAGACTTCGTTCACCGCAAAGCGAGCGCATCACATTTATCGCATAAATCTATCGCATGAATTTATTCAGCGTGATGGATTTAGCGCATAACAAAGCCTGGTTTCAAGAGTAACCTAATTCGACATCGATAACGAAGACAAACTCGACCAAAATCGAATCAAACGAAATTGTCATATCGATTGACCTCAAAATGAACTGTTGGGTCCATAACAACGAAATGAATAAAAACAAACATCTAAAGTGTAATAACCAAAAGAGTTTATTTTCCAATTCGTCTATTTTTAACGAAATGTCAACTAGAGCGTCATACCACAAAATCATAACATATCATTTTCATTGAAAGAATAAAAGTGAAAAGGAAGAGAGAATTTTTTTGATTATACTATCAGGAGGGGGAATGCAATAGCATTTGACAGTATTGTTTGTTTGAAGGGAAAAAAAAAGATTCTACAGAAATATTATAAATGAATAATCAATGGCTCCTTTTATAATGCCCCATTTTTCTTTTATGCATTCCAATCCATTTATGTATTTATGTGAAAAGAAGCGTTCGCGTCTTGAAAAAAATGCCATGATAATTATAACCTTGATGCTCACATAAAAAATGCATCATAATGAGCAATATTGAAAAAAACTCAACGGAAAAAAGATCGGCAGAAGGTAACTAGTTTTCAACCAAATGAATACTATATCGGAAAGAGAGAGTTTAATAATTTTTTGATTACCATTGTACATTTAGAATAAGCCCCAATGCTCGATTATGTGAATATTTGTTCCAAAAACAGATACCGTCTATGTTTTCCAAACTGAAGAAGTGAATGGATAATGTTCATCAACTCATAATTTTTCAGGACATTTTTTCTTGCGTTTTTCATTCTTTGAAAAAACGCCTGCGTATGTCTATTGAATTATTCATGGATGGAAATAAGTACGTCTGCTCATTTTTGATGTGCATTCGGAACTTTTCAAACTAAATACTGAGTAACACTTGAAATTTTGGTCTACTGTGAATTCTACGTATACGGCAAACTAAATTGAATTTTATCTAGGTTTTTAGTGGATTCAATGTAATTAATAGTGACTTTCATTTGTATAATTTTTCATTGTGTTCTTTTCCTACAATTTATGAAAGAATGAAAACGAATTGGGCAGCACCATTGAATGTGATAAAAACGATAAAACCTTCGTTTTCATTCGATATAAGTAGGTGAATATGTGAATAGTAATTTTTGAGTGAAATACTATCTGCCCCGTATGTACGATTATAAATTTATGTTGGGGTAAAAGTGAACACATTCTTGACTGAACTAAATCTACATCGTCTACAATTTACGACTATTTTTCTTCACATGAAAAGTGTTTTCAACATTTAGAATGGAATTTTGTTACAGTTTTTTTTAGGGTTACAGTATTCGATTGAGTTTCAAATTTGCCAATTTCATTGAAAGCAACTTACAGTCGTCTTCTTTAACTAAAAATAAAATGAAATTTTGAACGTTCTCAATGAGTGTTTTTTTTGGATTGAATTGCCAATTGAGAATGAGTATTCAGTAATTTTTTGAAATCAACACAATCAATTATAATCTATTTTTATTTTTCTCAAACATGCAATAGCAAATGCGAAATAAAAAGAAATTATGAAAAGAATTCTCTCGACTGCTAACCGAATGAAAAAAGTATGGTACTTACGCCGGTTTTGAAGCGTAAAAAGCCCGTAAATGGTGCTAGCAACATCATCTTAACAACGAGCATGCAAGACCATGCAACAAACGTAGTGAACACTCGATTGTCAAATGACATTAAATCAAAGATTGGTTTCATTTTGCTTATTGATGTTTTTCTTCTTCTTCTTCTTCTTTAATCAAATCACAATTTAAAGGTGTTTGTTTAAATGTTATTTCTGACACTTTTGTTTGATAGATTACAATGTAGTTTAGTTCTTTATTTTAACGATTTTATATTTATGCTTTAGATTTTTTTTTCGTGTGTGTTAGAAAAAAGATCTTGGGAAAAAGGTTAATCGACTGAGATCTGTGTTTGCACTTTGACTAGAAAATGTGAGTATGTTTGAAAAGAAAAGTCCAAACCGTTCCAGTTGACGAACAAATACGAACTGAGGATTGCTGTTGGACTCATTACACTCATCGCACTGTATGCGTATTGATTTCAACGAAATCAAACGATTTTGAATAATTGATGGATAATAAACGTGTTTTCTACCATGCCATGCTATCCGCCACCGTCATCGTTTTGTTTACGTATATTTTCAACCGTTCGGCAGTGATTCATCGTGGAAAACGGACCAGCTGGATCTGCCTTATTGATACGCAACAGAATGAAGTCCTTGTCCAACAATTACGGTGCTTTTTATATAGCATTCTCAATTCAAAGAAATATTAATAGTCCAGGTCAAGATCCGACGAACCATTTACATGTAGAAATTGTTCGTTGCTTTTTTTGTTCCTTCTATGAAAATTTATGAACTAGAAAAAATGAAATTTATGCGAAAAAAAAACGAATAAGAATTAAAAAAAAGAAAAGAGCCTCAAACTTTATGGAAGAAGAAGGAAATGGTTGAACAAACGGTTGAATTATGGTTTGGTTTTGTTATTCTCTCTCAAAACTGTTCAACTTCTACAACAGTCATTAAGCATAGTTATAATTCACCTCGGCGGTTGCGGTTCTTTGTGTAAGATGAAAGCATTCATGGGAAGTCATGCTAATTTGTGCAAAGCAAACTATGTGCACATGTGACCCGGCTGTAATTTGTTTTGTTCTCGAAAGTTTCGATCCAAAACAAGTAGTTCTATTTATTTCATTGGCACTGTTTAAGGCCATATTTCTATGACAATTGACATAATATGGTCGTCATTCTTCATCGAAGAGAACCATGAAAGAGAGTTTAATTGTCAATCGCAAAAACCACACTTCAACTGGAATCGCCTTCGCCCGGAGTAGAAGTACACATTTCAATGTATCGCATTTCGAATGGAATGAACAAAACAAAATTCGTTTCAATTGAACGAAGGTATCCCTCCGCACCGTCGTGTTTTTTCATTATCATCTCTATGACTCTTTCTAATCCATTCAGTCATGTTTGGTATATACAATTGTCTGTTGACGGAACTCATAGCCGGTATAATGATGTGGGTTTCACATCGTGTAACTGTCGTTTCAATCTCTAATTGTTGTGTATGAACTTGAATCTTTGTAGGTAATGCGGTAATTTATTGTTTGTGTAACACGTTTGATTCCAATTCAACTCGAAAATTCGATGCACACAATGGTCAGTCAGCCAGAGGTCGAAGAAGAAAAAGAATAGCGTCCATGCGAAATGTTTAATGATTCTATTGAATTGTGTAATGTCAATGATGCCAAAATTGAACAACAAAGAAGTGTATGTGTGTGTGTGTGTGTGTGTGTGTGAATATATCCGATCTGTTGGTGTTTGAGGAAGAATGAAAGTTCGCCTTTGTTCTGTGGTTCGTTGCATTTGATTCTTTTTGCGCTATCTAATGATTTATGATTGTCAGCTGAAGGTTAGAGTGAAAACAATGCACTTACAAGCATTTCGACATTGCAATCAAAACAACATGAATATGATTTGCATCAATGAAGTAATCAAAGCACAAATATGCGATTATGCAATGAACTGTTGGATTGAAACTTCTACGAAAGCATGCCACCGACCAAATTGAGAATGAATGTTTTCGCACTTCCAAATCCACTTCGTTCAGTAAATACATCCACCGGTAACACACGGTGCACACGAACAAAAGAAGAGGATTTCTAAAATTGGTTTGCTACAATTTGCATTACTGCAATCGATCGATTTATAGAATAGAAAATGTGTGCGGGCCGGCAATTCCAACGGTACATTGGTTTATTTTTTATATATATTGAAGCAATCAAAATCATTTATCAATAATAATCGCGCCCAATACACACCTAAAACCATCGGCAATCGTTGGAAATATTCAATGTAAATTACTTTAAACGGTAGTTGATTTTCTGTGTTATTAAAAACGAGTAAACAAATTGAAATGAGTAAATGGGCTTTGGCTTCTTCTTTGCGTACGCGTTTTTACTTTCATCACTGTTTCGGTTTCTGTTTTCGGGTCGACACAATAAAATGGCAAATGCTTAAGAGAGTTTGAGCGTATTTTGGTTTTTCACTCGGTTGCTGAAAAACAAAATGTGCGCATGGCTTTCAATTGAATTGCACATATATGGAAAACGATGGAAGCACAGTCGAGCACAAAAAGAAGCAACACCGTCAAGACGTGTGCAAGAGACGCAATCATAACAGACGCAACAATTGCTAATTGTATTTTATTTGCTATGCTAGCCTTCTTTTTTTGCCAACCACTTTTGTGGACATCATTGTGTGCTGTTGCTCGATGCGATGTGTGTGGATTCTCGGTTGATCATATGTTAACTGTTTTTGGTTTTCCACGCGGAACATAAACCATGGACAGCAATGGTGGCGACGACGGCAAGTACACACATGTTTGCTGGTTAGCTATACCACTGACTTCAAAACAGTGCGCATTTGGACTCAGAAGAGGAAACACCGAAAATCGTAATGCACCCTCAGTTCAAAGTGTCTGTTTGGTGCTAACTTAAGAAACAATGTGATACAAGTTTGAAATCAGTTTTGTTCTTTTTGTCCATCTAGGTAAAAAAGAATCTTAATTTAAATGTTGACTGTTTTTTTGCAACATTTTTCTCTGGTTGTTTTGTGAAATTGGTATGAAAATAGTAAGAATCAGAACATGTTAAGAACTGAAACTAGTTTAAAATTGTTCGACATAGTTGAGAAATGAAAACCAAATGAAACTGAAATTAAACAGTCCAAATTAAGTTATAGTTCGTTAAATTATTCGTGTCGTTGGTGAAACAAATGAAAATTCAAAATGTAACGGATGACAGAAGTTATAAAACTGTGATTAGTTCTATTGACTTTGTTTCACAGTAAAACTCCTGCAAGTAGACAATTAACTTGCATTTCAAGAGACAATTTAGCCGTTATCATTCCTTCTCTTCGAGCTTTTTCGTTTAACTCCCATTGTTAATAAGTAGAATTAATAAGAATTTTACGCAAATAGCAATTTCTAGCCGCATTTTAATTCATAACTTGAATCCGAAAATTCACTGAATGAAAATTGAAAGAAAAAAAATTAAAAAAAAAGAAAAACTCGTGACAATTTCCCGAAAAGAGGCAAAGAAACGAAATTATGGCAATTTTTTGCGAGAAAAAACAAATCCATAACAGATGAGAACAGTTAAGTAAGGGGTTCAAACGCATAAGTTTTATAGCTGTGTGTTTTCATTTTGTTGTAGGTAGGTTACGAAATCGATTGTTTCACATTGCCGAATCGCTTACACTAAAGACACGCTTGTAAAATTGGTGCGATTCGATGTGAGACAGACCGAAATAGGCAGAGAGAGTGAGCAACGTTTGAATAGAAAAAAATAGCGCAGCCAAACGAAAACTATATGCAATTTTTCAATCATACGCATTGCTGACTCTCAATCACATTCGACAAAAGTGGCGCGTAAATTCACATCTATACACGCATGGTGCGGCGTGGAAAATAACAGCGAACGAGGCGAGCAAGCAACAACAACGAAAAGAAACTAGAGTAGAAAATTATTTACAAAATGACGCAAATGATGCAATCGATGAGACGACGGCGGTGGTTATTGGAATGCTATAAATTTAACGCTTTGCTTATTTTGCTAACATTGATTTTACACGATCGATTTTCCATGGTATTTGGTATAACCGTCAATCCGCTTGATTCGCTGGTTGCATCGTTTGATTTCGATGAATATGGTGGTAGCGATGATGGCGATCGATCCAATGAGTTTGCTTCGGAAGTTCATGATTCGAATAAAATTGACCAATTTCCCAGCGGTTATAACAACTTTGCTGGATCTTCGGAAATTGTAAGTAATGGCATTGCGCCACAAAAATCAATATAATTGAAAAAAAATTGGAATACAACACGTCTAAAGGTTATTTAGTCGATTAAAAAGAAAGAAAGCATTCAATTCATTGATAACCCTTTGGTCTTCGCGTTATTCACCGTCCAGACTTTGTACACAAAAAATGAGTTAGTTTCGTCTTATCAACTGTAGACGCTAATTAATATAACGATGTACACTGTACAGTGTACACACAATTTTTTTCCCTTCAATATTCCTTGCTCAATCACATTGCACATTCATATTAAAATGAACTGAGTCAAGCAGAAAAAAAACAGTTAAAATTTTCCACAGATACACCGAGGAATTGGAAAGGTCATTTTTCTTGCATGAATCGCAGCTTGTGCTTGATTAATAATTAAAACGGACGTTTAAATTGATTATAAATGGCAATTGATTAAAAAAAATTAAAAGCATCGTCCAGTTCAAAAAAATAAAAGCAGAATATAGAATAGAAAAACGAAATCGACACGTTTTCTTGAACTGAACACTGATTAATGACAAATCACCATCATCGGAGTAACAGTTCTCATCAATTCTAATCCATACATTCATTTTGAAATGACTCAAAAAATCGCTTTGTTCACTTTTCCCTTCGATCAACCCAATTTAACTTTATTGAAGTACGAAAAATTGAGCGTAAACTATTAGCGATGTACACGTACAGTGGTGTTGAATACTTCTATTTAGAATGAAATTTGGACAATGGCAATTGTTTTCCGTTGTTTAATGACGTAACAGCGTACGTGTGAGAGCCACTGAATCATGAAAATCATCGATTTAAATTTTATTTTCTAGAGCGGCACCGGAGGAGCATATGTGTTTGGACCAGCATCATCAGCCATTGTTAAACAGCCCATTAGCGAAAACCAATCAGGTATGTTTCTGTTGCTGATCAACAGTTTCAACGAGGTTCGTACAATTGAAGAGGTTAACGCCATTTGTGGTTTTTGGTTTCTTTTCCATTTCATTTTCAACAGACACCTTCAGCGAGTTTCTGAAGATGTTTTCGATTCCACTGCATCACTCAGTGTTTGAGGTACCGAATTTTTTCAACAATCGCATTTCCATCAAGTCACGATACGTAACAAAACCATTCAAACCATCAAATTTGTCACCAATTGTACTGAGACAAAAAATCGTTCGTCTGCCTCCACCACAGTCACTATCATCGCCGCTAACGGCCATCACCGACGGCATCAAAGATCGCCTGAAAGCCATTTATCCAGGCACACTGTGGTGCGGCGATGGTAATCAAGCGAGAAACCAGAATGAAATCGGCCTATTTCGTAACACAGATATTTGTTGTAAGTTTACTTTTGATTTACGCTCAGTTTTGTTTAAAATCCAAACAGAGTGTCCGCAGTAAAACTAAAATTAATTCTGATGAATTTTCAGGCAAACAACACGACGAATGTCCCGCATTCATCAAATCGGGCAGTGAATTTAAAGGCCTCCGAAACACTGGCCTATTCACGCGAAGTCATTGCGATTGCGATCTAAAATTTTACAATTGCCTAAAGAGAACCGATTCGCTGATATCGAATAAAATTGGCTACACTTATTTTAATATTTTGCGACCGCAATGCTTTCGCAAGGAGTTCCGCGTTGTTGGTTGCAAAAAATGGTAAATTCGAATATTGAATTTTTCTTGCAACAATTTTTGTTCGATCTAACTTTACAACAAAAATATCCGAATTTTTGCAGGGTTAACAAGAAATGTATCGTTTACATGGTGGATGATCGACAGCCCGGTGTATGGCAATGGTTCGATAATAAATTATTTTAGCTTTAAGATTTTAAACTCTAACCGGCCTCAAACGCTATTCAACTACTCTCAATTAGATACTTAGGTTCGATTAAAAGTCGTAATTTAAATGCAAAACCAAAATGTGAATAAAGGAAACTACTTGGAAATAACAAACAATTGGTGTGGCAATCTCTTCCTGCTTCCAATGCTGACATTTCAAAACACCCTGACACGTGCATCATTATACAATTGCATGTAGTATATTTTTCTCATCGAACTGAGATAGGAACCAAATGCAGTCTTGCTTACACGAATCCATTTGAATATCGTACTCGCGATAAGAACTGAACCCATGAAACATCGCACGTCGCGCATCGCTTTCACACTTTCGCTGTGTGCCCGGTGTCCCATGTTCATTGCGCTGTTCAAAGTTCATATATCAACATACTACCGCTGGAAATGGTATGAGATGAATTAATCTTATCAGGCCCGTATTAAAAATTTAAACCATTTTTAGATATCACACACACACCAAAAATTGTTTTATCATCAAAACAACGTATTTTTCATCAGAATGTGTAAGAATGTGGCAATGTTATGACCATTCTAAAAGTAAATTTTTCCACGTTAGAAACAAAAAAATAGAATTTGTATTGTCACTTCTCTACCTCATACGTGTTATAAATTTATGAATCCATTCACAGGGGAAACAAACGATGTGTAAAATGAAACATTTTTCTGAAGAACAAAATGATGCGTTCATCACAGCCGACGATAGCAAGAGTACGAATGACGAAAGAATTTTGAAAAAACGTCATATTTGGACTTTGCGCCCAAGCAATTAAAGGCAATTGCGTATTTTGCTGATAATCATCGATTGTGAAATACAATAGAAAACCTATTCAATCATGACAAGTATTTATCAATCGACGTTCAGATACACTTATGTATGTAACCTTCAAATGACACCTGAATTTATCGTTGTGCCGGTATTAACGCGATGACATTTCACGCATAAACCGCAAATGAAATCATCACTTTATGTTCTATCACCAACAAAAAAAATCAAATCGAAAGGAGTTTGAGATTTGCCACTTGATTGGATGAACTACATTTTCAAACGGATTTCGGTCAAACAAATGGTTCATTGACATTATTCATAAACAAAAATATGTTGAAAGCGAAATTCGTCGATCGAGCTGTTTCAAAATCGGGTGGATGCGTGTAAATTGTTAGTTCTTTTTCTCTGTTGTTCGACACATCATCGTCAAAAATCACAGAATCATGAAATAGCAAAATATGATCAAAATTGCTCATCGCAATGTGTTATCGCTCCGCGAGCGACTCAGCACCGCTGCGGCGGCAACACTCACAATCATCAGATTAGCTAGAGAATTGTGTACAAAGTTCACATTCAACCGGAACAACAACAACAACAACAAGCGATGGAATCACAACTACAGACCTATTTGCACCGAGAGCCTAAATCATGTTTCGATTCTCGCAGACAACCGGCTACCGCTGTATGTCTTGTTTTGCTTCGTTGTACACTTGATTCCGTCTCGTTCGCTCGTCGTTTGCTTGAAACGCAGACACATTGAGCACGCCGTTTGTTTATGCGCTTTTGGACTCGACGCAACCAACGAGTCACTCACGCTCTCACACGAAATTTCGTGCTCGGTGTTTCTTGTTCGTTTTTTTCATTGGAATTTCTAAACGAATTTTACGTACATAATTCCATGGTGCGCATTTGCTTTTTTAAGCTTCTCTGTTAACGACCGAAACCGATGCACAAATACACACACACACACACGCACACACACACAAACCGAAGTGTCGTATTCTCTCTGTTCAATGTTCAATGATGTCTTTGTCGCCAGTTCACGCACATACAATGAGTCTCGAACGCACTCTCCATCCCTCCTTCTCGCGCATTCGATCCAGCACCATAATCGGTGTGTGCTGTTTTGTTGTTTTCTTCTCTTCCATCCTTGTCGATCCCGCACGATACGATTCGTGTGGAAATGAGTGTTTGTCGATGCACACACGACGATCGTTCGGTCGTCTCTGTTTTGCGCTCGCTGTATGCGGCAATAAAATTGATAATGCCGAAACAGTCCACCATCATTTTGAGAACTGAAGTCGAACGAAACACATGTGTTTCTTACCGTCTCAATCAGCATATCGTGCGTGAACTCATTTCAATATTTCCATTGTACTAAGAAAACATTCTTTTCGTTTCTTTACAACATAACTGTCTTTTATTGCACACGGTGATTTAATCAATTGTCTTCGTTTGTTCGCACACACAGATCTTTTTGTTCTGAATTGTGAGAAAATTGTTGTAGTTATTTTTTTTGCGTTGTAAAATTTAAAATTCAAATCAGAGAGAAATTAAAAATGGCTCTGGAGAAAAATCAAAATAATTCAACCGCTGTGGAATATAACAACATTGCAAACAGTGATAGTGCAGCGCTTCTACCACATTTGGAATCGTTTGAGAAAATGCTGAAGTTGCCTGTCCTCGGAGCCGCCTGGCATCAAGGTCAAGATGTGTATGGCCGTGTTAAAGGTAAGTTTAAATACTCAATACAACAAACAGCAACCACAAAAACGACAATAGAAATTACAAACATTTACTTGTGATCCGAAATCCCGATTCCTTGTGATGATTGATGTTCAGAAAGATAAAAAAAAACGACAAGTGGCGATAAACTCGATGGAGAAGAGAAAAAAAAATCTCTAAATGTGGAAAACGTGGTCTTTCATATCATCATGCGGCCAAATTGCGGACAATATTCAAAACTGTGCATCGAATAATAATCGAAACCGTTTCTTTTTCATTCTTCAAAATATACAGTTAATTGTTTCATTACAACGAAAAGTTATGGAATTGATTAAACTTCGTCATCATTCGCAATGTGCATTTGGAATAATTGTCACAAACACAAAGGAAAAAGAGAGAAACAAAATTACCGTTCAATTTGATTCGAATCGATTAATTGAAATGTTCCATTTCTTCCCCATTAGTCACAGTAAATAGGCTTTTTTTTATTTGCAATTTTCAATTCATTTTGAAGGTAACGGAATAAATTTAGTGCGAATGGAAAAACAAATTGTGCGCTGTTCCGTGCGTTGCCATATTTTTCGCATTAGTTCATTCTCTATCAGCGATAATTGATCACGTTCAAAGTATGAGAGAGAAAAAAAGGAACATGTGCAAATTGTTGACCAATGGCGTGTTATGATTACCGAAAAAACATGCGCAAGCATCAAATGAGACTGCTGATTTGCTATTTCCATGCAACTTTCTACATGGCTGACACTGTTGCTGCCGTTTATCGCCAAATAATTGCGAATTGCGAATTGCGTCATTTCATTTTAAAGTACCGAATGGATTTTGGATTAGTTTTTATTGGCATCGTCCGCTCGTCAGTAATCAATATCTAGGTTTTTTTTACGTCTTATCGCATATCTCGAACAATTGTTCAAATGAATGAAATAAATCGAATCGAATCGCTTCCATTAAAAAACACTTGAACAAAACGAAAGAGGGAGAGGGAGAGGGAGAGGTAGAAAACGGCACAATTATCATTTATTGTGCAATGTTAACCTTAGCACACTCTAATCGCACGACCAGAGTGATACTTCGTTTAATCATCGCTTCGGTGGTTAAAAGATCTTAGTTACTGCATCGCTCTTTTTATTATACTCAGTAAATGTTTTTTTGAACGATATGCTGCCGATCACTCGATGTGCAAACAAAAAAAAACCTCAATATTACATTACATCTAACCTCTCTTAAGGTTATCATGTTAAGTCTATTGAATTTTTGTTTTTTGTTTTTCGTTCCCTTCGACTCTGTTTCACTTGTTTTATCATCATCAATGGGAATTGCCTATTCTTGCCCACTTTCATTTCAATTCAATCTTATCGGAGTTTGCTTTCAACATGCGGCTGCCGTTGTCCACTTGACGGATGACGTGATGAACTTAGTTTGCATTTTAGATGATGTAAATCAATTTGATTTGTCATATTTGCAATTGTTTGGTGTTTGTTTCTCATTCGTTCGTTTGTTCGTTCGTTGCATCGATTCAAGTAGATCACCAGATTGCATGGTGTAGCACAATTTCAAATCACATCATCGCATAAATAATGACCATAAATAACCGTTTTAACTTGCTCTCGCACAGTTGATCCAAAGGCATTGAAATGTTCGTTGATTGATTCAATAGATTGTGTTGTCAATTATATTCGAGCGTTCTACATTCGGTACAACGCACTTTGGCTGTTGAAACAGAGACAGTGCCCCAATGTACAATGATGATGATGAAAAAAAAATGCAAGCCGATCATGGGTCGAAAGTGAGAGAGAGGAGAGAAAAGAGAGAAACGAATCATTGTGTGTTGTTGTCACGACGACCGTCGGACCTTTTTCATTTCAATTCTTTTGACTCGACGTAACGAGCCTTCTTTCAATGCATCGTCATGCACACTCACAATAAATGAGTAACTTATTGGTTATTTATTGGTGTTGGCTGCTCGCTTGCTCGCTCGCTCGCTCGTCCGCTCGCCTGCTCGCTCTTGCTTACTCTCGTGAGCATTCAACACCACCACTTAAGTGGCTGAAATGCACACACGCCACAGCGGAGCCATTCGTTCTCACTGAAATCTGATTTCTGAGCATTTTCTAAAATTACACACCGAATCAACGGCCAGAAGTGAGAAATGCAAAGCACATAAATGGAATTCCATTTGGGCAGCGCTTGTCATTGTGATTAGTGACCAGTTGAAACCTTCAATTTGTACATGATTTCATTGCTCCGACATAGACACAAACACTATCTCAGACACACACAGACTCACACATTACGAATTCATAATAATCTCCGGGGCTTATATTTAACGCTTTAAATGGCCGTACACCATTCTCGCACCAGCACTTAGCTGGTGTGTGTGTGTGTGTGTGTGTGTATGAGTGCTTGTGAGTTTCTCATGCGATCCAGTCTTCTGGTTTGTTCCAATTTAAGAGCACAAAAAAGCATACAACCAAAGAGCAAGACCGAGAGAGAGAACAAAAAAAACAACAAAAACCAGAATCAACGAAACCTCATCATGTTTGTGGGACGGTGGTGGCGGCGAGTAGTCGCTGCAATGTCGACGGCATACTATTTATTCGTTTTTCGTTTAATATCACTGAATGCAATGACCGTTACGCGTGCGGCTACATTCAAAATCTAAATTGTTCGAAATGTGATCGTGCACAATTCGCGGCATTCGGAGCGATTGGGTTACTCACACTAAAGACCAATCAATTTGTACATGATTCAATTGCAGTTGGCTGTGTGTCTGTGTATGCGTGCGCGCATACAATTCACGAGATCCTCATAATTTCATCGTTGATCATTATCATAATATTCATAAGCGAAAATGATGAAAATGACAATTTAATGTTCGTTCGTCAAAAGCGACTGTGCTGCGTTGTGTTGCAGAATTAAAATAGCGGCGGTCGTTGTTATTTGTCGTCGTCGTCGTCATCGCATGATACTTGTTTCTGGTTTAAAAATAAAACGTTTCTTTGTTTTTTTCCTTCGCCACCCGGCAAATGCAGAAGAAAAAGAAGAACGTAGAAAAAACTATATAAACACGATGAGTTTGTACGAGTGAGTTGAGTAATGCATAGCAACAATTTCAACGATTTGCAGGCGGCAACCATGCAGATCTCTTTCTTTCCTTTCCTTTCATTCAAGGTGAAACGTTGCATTCGCTTCTCCGTGCTTCGTGTGCTGCGTTCATTATTTTTCTCGATCGCAGTTTTGGGCCGAAAAAAGTGCACTTGTATGATGCGGTGAAAAAAGAAAAAAGCAAAAAAACGAACCACGGAATATGCACATCAGCAGACACTGTGAATCCTGTCGTTCGACACAAAACAACAACCTTATTCCACTTGTATGTAATTTTAATTTCTGGTTTCGTTGCACCCGAAATATCGCTTTTGTTATCGTTGCCGTTGTCGTTGTGGTTTTTTCTTCTCCAACTTTCTCGGCTATGAGAATGAATTTGTCTGCCATTTAATTTGAGCTAATAAGCCTGGCTGAGTGTGTGTGTGTGTGTGTGTCTGTGTTACGTCCCGTCTCTTTGTTCACTTCGCATTTATCTTCGCAACGGTCATTTCGATTTAAATAATAGTTTATAGTCAATGTTCTTGTGTTGCCTCCTTTTCGGTGCGATTCGACTTTGATCGGACCAAGTCCAATCGCGCACACACACACACACACACACGTAACAACGATTGTGATTCACGATATCGTACGATTATCTTCACATATTTGGAACCAGAACAACTTCAGCACATCAACTGGTTCGTACAACAGACAAATGCAACAAAATGTTGAACATGTTTTTGGTATAGGCGCGGGCTCAAATGAATGAACAATCTAGTAGAGGAATCAAGAACGAAAAAGAAAGAAACTAGCATACATACAATTAATTGGAATTCGATACGCGTCTGGATTTAATTTATTGAAATTATTTCAAAGTATGTGGCAATACGCGGTACGGTGCGAATTGCTATTTTCTGCTGACAGCAGCACATTACAATAATTTTATCGGTAGCAAGGTGATAAAATCGGAAACCGAACCAGTCTATCGAACAAAATAAAAAACCAAAAATGCATGCATTTCACATTCCAATGATATTTTTAGTCTGAACGGTCAGCAATATTTAGCAGCCGAATGTTTCTTTTCTTGCCGATCGTGTTAAATCGAAGCTCCCTTTTTTGCGACTGCAAATTACAACAGAATGACGAAATAATTGGTTATCTCTTTTTTTGTGTGCCCATTTTGGCTTTGCAGGCTATAATCCAATTTTCAACTGGGCATTCCGTACGGCTGAAGATGCCGTTCATTTGGCAGTGAACACAGCCGCTCCAATCATCTCGACATTGGATCGTCCCATTCAGTTTGTTGATCAAACGTTGTGCAGTGGAATCGATAAGCTTGAAGCGAAGGCACCAATTATCAAGGAGCAACCACAGGAGATTTATCAACAAGCCAGAAATAAGGTGGTCGATGCCGTGCAACCGACATTGAATCGTGTGTGCTCAATGCGTGCGGCCGGTCAACAGAAAGCCCATTCACTCAAGGATCTATCGTGGCAAAAGGCAAACGAAGTGTTGGCCACACAATACGGCAGCATGGCTGTGTCAGGACTCGACACCACATCAGCATTGGCCGAACGCCTGCTCGACTACTACTTCCCGAAAAATGAAAATGATGCCGCCGAAGATGACAACAGTAAGTATTTTCCTTCTTAATTTTTTAACGATTCATTCGTTATTTTATTATTCACACACATTTTCAACACCATTAGAAAGCGAGTGAGAAACGGAAACGGTTGAACCGACGGCTGTTACTTCAATCAATAAATAGAACGAATTCAAGTGGTTTTCAAAGCAAGATAATACACTCACCGGATTGCATAACAGTGGAAACATACCACGAATTTGAACACTTTTTTTTTACTTTGTTGTCTCTTTTCTCTTTGCGAATTCAAGCTGTTGCCAATTTGGCCGATAGTCGTCTTTTTTTTCGTCGCGAATGTCACAGTCCATTCCATTTTTCAGCCGATTGCATTATGGTGACAATTTATTCATTTAAATCCATTTTTTGTGCTTATAATAGTGACAGAATTTACGATACGAAAATTCACAAAGGAACACTTTGGAAAGCATATCATCAAAGCGTCGGTCGTGATGTTGTTCACGTTTCTTTTCAATTTCATGTTTGTTTGTTCCTTTCCTTTATCATGACTTCTCTCTTGGTTTTTTTTTTCAATTTGTTCGCGTCGTTCGCTTACAGCGAACTGTTGCTTTGAATATATAGAGAGTGAGATACTCTTCAACTTGATTGATAGCGGACTTTGGACCTCATACGTACTACACTCGCCGCGCACTAGAATCACCATACGTCGACACAACCACGTACGACGCTTAGTTCGCGTTCGCGACGTTTTTCATGCATATGAATTCGGTAGTTTGGATGACATATGGTCCGTTGTTATTTATGCGTTTCCAAAATATACTCTGCGTGTCATCGCTTCGAATACACTAATTTCATTAAATGAATAGCTAAGGGGGGATTCTTCGCTGTCTTATTGTTTGTGTAAATTCATCACTTGAATATTGAGCATGTCTGTGTCATGCTTGACGACTGTGACAGTGAATTAGTGCAAACGCATGTTACCGAAAACTAAAATAGAAATTTCATTTATAATTCCGTCAAAGTCCAATTCCGGACCCGTTCCAATAAAATTTCTCAACTATAGTCATTTCATAGCTATGAACACAAAACTCATTTGAAATTCGCATTTGAAAATGCCACGAATTCAGCGCAGAAGAGAAAAACAAACCGAGAATGTGTGTATTATCAGCTGAATTTATCGGCGGATGTGGAATATGACCAATTGAAATGGGCCGAAAAATAAACTTTTTTCCTCTTATGTCTCGCCATTCACTCAACAAACATCATTTTTTATGTGTGGTTTTTTCTCATCTCCAAAACCCAATTTTTTGACTGATTTTGTTTATCTCGTTTTCTGTTCTGTTTTGCGAATTGCAGCACCAATCGATGCAAACGCCGATCCAGTGCTTCATACATGCCAAACTGTCGGACGTTTATCGAATAAAGTGGCTCGTCGCGTCTATCGCACCGTATCACGTCAAGTAAAAATGTTGAAAAAAGAAGATGTACAGGAATATGTAGCGTCATTAATAGCTGTATTGCGACTAACCCAATATTTAAATTTCATCAATGAACGAGTTCAGGCGGGTCAATCGACAATAGCCATTGACAGCGAGAACGAACGAAATGAACAGCTCAACAAACAACAGCCACCACAACAACAGCAGCAGCCGCAACCGAACGGCTTTTCTCAGCCACAAAACAATGAACAATGAGCGTTTTCAATAATTAAATAATTTTTTTGTAGCTTAATTTTCGATTTCGATTCATGAAACATACAAAAAAACACACACACACATCTAAGATACAAACAACAGTGATTCAAGTCAAAAAAAAAATACGGTCGAATGAAAGAAACATAAGGAAAAGAAACACAACTAAAAGAATTAAAAGCAAAAGAACACGAAAAAGAGCAATCGAAAACGAAATCAAACACCGAAAAAAAACGGGAAAAAAGGAAGAAGAAAGACAATAGCAATATGAAAATATTACGAGTACTATTTTTTCTGTTGTTGTAATTCAAAGTTTCACAATTGAAGTGCAAATAACAACACTCACACATGAAATGATTTTTTTGCCATCGAAGTTTGTGATCGAAATATTGTGTCGTCGGCAACACATTTGTTTTTCTTTTTTATCGTACGTGTGTGAGAAAGCGATCTACACCGCAGGCAAATTGTAAGTTATAATAAATGCTATTTATTATTTATAAATTGCTCACACTCGAAATGTCGCATAGGACTGGACTCAAGTCACTGGAGAAAAGGAAAATTTACTCCACGGTATAGTTTGATTAGGATTGCATTAGTGATAGATCGTCATTCGACTTGTTCGCAGAATTGTTGAATCATCTACCGATTGCGTACCGCACCGGTGGCGGCATTTCGAACGATAATGAAAGTGAAACCACAAACACACACACACACAATGTCGCAAAGCGTTAAAAAAAATCTCCATTACGGCCAAGGAAACAGAAGAGGAAACAAAAACGTATCCATAAAATCACTTGATCTTCAAAAGAAACTGATAAATTTTAATTCTATTCCATCGTTATTCAATAGAATCCTAAATTATTTATCGGCTTTTCCATTTGCTATATTTGTTCATCAATTCCGTTTGTTTCATTCGTTCTCGTTTTGTATTGTCAATGCACAAATCATCGTTTTCGTCGTGATTGAAAGCTCTCTTTTTTTCGTTGTTTTTTCTTCCATCGTTGTGCGAGTGGTACGTTGCAAATTCCTGAGGTACTGATTTATTTACATAAATTCGTTCGATATTTTCCATATAAACACAATTCTAGCAATGCAACGCATTCATAACATGTAGCAAGTAAATTTAGTTTAGCTAGAACTCTAGATGAAATTATTTGAAAATTGTACCAAATGCCATTTTGTATGCAAAACGAGTTTCTTCTTAAAAAAAAAACTAGAGAGAAAAAAATCATTACGGCTAATCCACATCCAGTTCAAACAGAGCCGAACAAGAATAATCATATACGAAAATGTGTCGAAACAAATTTGTTTTTTTTATACTGCATCTCTGAAGAGATTATTATAAATTGTCAGTCTAGATTTATTGAAATTACAAATTATTTTGTTCTAGAAAATAAACGAGAAACGAAAAAAAAAATATACACGTTTATACCAATTAATAGAATTAGGCATTAATTTATAGTTACAATTTACGTTAAAAAAAATGATTTCAATAAAAATCGAAATGCAATTGAAAAATTGGATTTTGTTTTCAACACTTTTGCAAAAAATTGCATTGTTTGCTCGCACACGAATTACCAACGTCAATGGACACGTGTCTTTATCGATTCCCGGCGCATATACATATATTGTAATTGGCTGTAAAAATAATCAATAACAATTCCAACGAAAGAACAAAAGTAAGTGATGGAAAATTGAAAACAAAAAAATAGTTCAATGTATGCGAATGAACTTTGCGTATGGTTAATAAGCTGACAGCGCCGAAATGAGGAAATGCTAAATCGATGACAAAAGGTAATTTGAATAGGTCTGGTTTTTTCTTTCTAATGCTCTCTGGTGTGTGTACAGTAGGGTGTTTTTGGCATCGTTCAATCGAAAGATGGTAAGTCTCATTCGATAGATCTCAGAATTCTGAATCGATTGATAACATTTTTGTCGCGGATGGACTTGTGGTGACACTTCCCGAAACAAAAAACAAAAACAATTTTATTCTGAATTTCTATAGTAACGTGTGACAACTAGATTCAATTTTATGTTTTCTTGTCAAATTTTTGCTTTCAAATTTCAAATCAAATCTGGTTGTCACAGGTTACTATGGAAATTCAGAATAAAACTGTTTTTGTTTTCAGCTTCGGGAAGTGTCATCACAAGTCCATCCGCGACAAAAATATTATCAATCGACTCAGAATTCTGAGATCAATCGAATGAGGCATACTATTTTTTGATTAAACGATGCCGAAAACACCCTAGCTGTACAGTGTCTAATTCAGTGAATGGGAATGTGGTAAACGGGTATTGTATTACGTTCAAGTCGAAAACAAGTACTTTTTTTTTATTGGGGCTTCACGAACTAACTGCAGATTTGATTATGAAACAGCTGTATGACGCAGGTAGTTGAAACTTAGAATTGTACGGGACCAAAAATCTAATATGAGCCCCAAAAATATGAAAGAAAAAAAATGAGTGTGACAAGTGATAGCAAATATGATTAATACATAGTCATTTTTTCCCATTTTCATTTTGCCTCATTCTTCATTCGCATAGCAAAATGAATGAATTCTTAATGTTGTCATACGTGTTGCATCGTGATTGCCCCTTGATTTTTCAAATCCATATCAGAGCGAAGTGGAATTTACAGTAAATAAATAAAATAAAAGTGTAAGCGGTTGAGAATCGTTAATCAGGAGCACTGTTCAAATTTCAATTCCTTCGTTGATTTCGCACTTGAATCGAACGATAAGTATGTGACGATTTGTTTCCATACGCTGATTAAGCGCGAACACGATGTTCCTTTTGATAAAATGACAACGTTCATTTATTCATACGTTCACATTGCGTCAAGTGTATATTAAATGATGGATGAGTTAATGGACTTTAAACCGAAAAGAAAAGTGATAATGCGTGCAAACTAGTGGAACAAAACAATTCCAACGCAGACAGGCATGCACACACAGTATGCGTCTGTGTGTGTGTGAGTATAAGAAGAATGCAGGTTGCAGTATTAAATTAAAAGTGAACAAGCACACAACAGATCGATGAAATTATAATACCGGATTTTTTTCCGGTTGCACCATGGTTCTTGACAAGGTGAAGTCTATTTGACAACGTGTTGATTTTTTTTTCATTCTCATTTTGCGCTGATAAATTCAACGGAAAGAAATCTTGACAGTTGAGAATTTACTTTCATGTGTCGGTCACCTATTGACTTTACTTGTAAATATTTACGTCGAATGTTTTTTTTCCCTGTGATTTCAGTATTGAACCATCCGAAAGGCCAAATTGATAGAATCGAAAATTTTGTCTAGGCGCACTAAATACTCTCCCACTATAACGCTACATAGTTTAAATAGTTTGAGTGATAAGTTTTTTGTTTCGCACTTTTGAATCATATTGTTACGTTTGTTATACACAGCATTGATTTATTGCTGTATGTTTGGCTTTTGCGAATTGCGTCTCTTGAATTACATCCTTTCCCTAATAATAATATACTTCTTTTCATACAATTCGTAAGGGAGCTTATCAGGTGAGTGATAATCGCATGAACCCAACACAATTTATAAATCAGAAATTTATTTACAAAAATAACCACGGGACATTGATAAAAGCAATGAAATACGTTGAAGTGATTCACGTAGACCATGTTTTAAACTTTTTTTCAACAATTTCTCTTCAAAAATGTGTTTTTTGCTTTGGTTCAAGTGCTCCAATGTCAATAAATAACGTTTCTCTATTTTATTTTTTTCAAAAGAAGACTGAAAATCAAACGATGCAACACAATATCAAGTAGAATTACATCAGGTTTTTCATTCTCGATTCCAAAGTCGACGATTGCATGTAATTAAAAAAAACGGTTGTTTGCTCCGAAATAAATTCTTGTTGTTTATTTTTGAATCCAATTCGACCTTTGGAGTGTTCATCTCGTATTTATGTGATGAATAACTGGGTTTTTGCAAAACTTAATCAGATGATATCTTCGAAATGATTTGTTTTAAACGCGTTCACACAGAAAAAACGTGTACATTTCTTTCGTCACACTTTGTACTCGCAAACCCAAGGAATTCTGAATATATGAAAAGAAAATAAGAGTATTCAACATTGACGTTGTTTTCATCGAGGAAAGTGTATATGTTTTTTCTTGCACTGATAAGAAGCTATAAAAAAAACTAAATCATATCAATTTTTAGCGAAGCAACAAAGAGAAACACGAAGGGGACATTATAATAGTTATGCGCCTCCTGATGATAGTTTATTGGCTTTTCGATGCAAAATTAACGCATCAATAATGGACGAAAACACATTTATGGCACAAATCGAACAAAAGGCAAAGAAGTCAAAATACAATCATGGAAAATTTGTATGGCGTGATTCGGACAAACAATGACAAACTGATAACTGTATATGTGAAACGATTCATTCGGTTGCAAAAGTACGCATCGATTCACAACACATCAACAAATGTTAACAAATGTGCGATGGATTTGTCAGTCGGCGCCTTCTATGGAATTATATACACATATTCCGTTTGTTGTTGTGTGGTGAGAGCAATTGGATGAGTTTGGAATAAACAATACAATCGAGGCAAATTCGCCACATACATTTAAGAAAATTGCGACACGCACAAGATAGTGATACGCTCGCGATACGCATCAATCAAATGTAAATATTTTGACTTTGCTCCGTGGAGCTGTTGCTGCTGCGCAAAATAATAATACTATTTACCATAGGCCACAATAAACACACACAACAGATGGCAATTTTCACTTTTGTTCTCCTCTCCTTTAATCAAATTCATCGTTATGGCTGCCTACCCAAAACAATCGGTTGCCCAATTCGTTATTTATACTCAAATTAAACACGATACAATGAGAGATACGTTAAAAAGATTGCATTTCATTTTAATAAAAGTGTTTGAGTATATTTTTTTGTGTATAGAAATTCTTACGAGATAATTTTGGTTCATTACCAACCAAATTGTTGTGACGAAAAGATGATCGAGAAAAAAAACTAAAAATATAAAGAAATATATAATATGATGAGTATATTCAAACGCCCAAAGTCATGCATTGAGGATTGTCCTTAAATTCGCCAACATCTTGAAGCACTGCATGTGGGGCACATCGCCATGGATCTTCCGTATCTCCAAGCCATTTATTCAAACGCTCTTCCAAATTGGCTCGAACCTCTTTCATCGATGGTTTTTCAGCAATATTCATCAATTCATCACCATCCGCTTTGAGATCATACAATTCCCATTCGGCACGATTGTAATACTGACTGAGCGTTTTGTACCAGGGCAACGGCTGTTTGTTGATTGTCCGATTTAAAATGTCCTGAAAATTCAACCGGATAGATTAAGGCTTTTTCTTTTGGATTTCATAAAACTAAATTGACAATTTTTGGTTGATAATCTAATTAGAATAACGTTATTTACTAAATAAATTAGGTAAACGTCGTTTTAAACCCAACAAAAATGATTGCATACAAGTGAAGTAATGAAATTTTTTTAGTTTTCAACAAAATTACAAAGAAAATTTGCTAACCTGGAATGTGCGTGAGACATAAAAGTCTTGATCAATGGGGAATGGCGATCGAAAATTTAAATTATGAATGAGTTTATATCGTTTGGTTCGAATCGAGCGCATTGGATAATTCATGGTGACCTCGTGATAGCTTTGACTGGCAAAAATGGCTGCGAATGTGTGAGAGAAAAGAGAGAAATATTGAAAAAACTGAATGATCCAGATTATAAAAAATAAATACCTGCTTCTGGATCATCATCCGGCTCTTGAACGAGCAGCGGTAGCAAACTTTTACCGGTCAGGACAGATTTTTCTATCGAATTACTTTCTAAATCGACATCGTACGTGGGTTTAATTTGGAACCAATCGATAACTGTGGGTAAAATATCCAAATGGCTTGTCATGAAGTATGTAACTTTATTACGTCGTTGTATTTCTTTAGGTGATGATATGAACATGGGTTCACGAACACCAGGATCATAGAGATTTGTACGAGCGGCTGGTAGTGGTGGCCCATTGTCAGAAGTGTAAATGATTCTATTTAAATATAATATATTAAATATAATATATTAATGTATTTTTTTATTTACAATGTATTTTTTTATTTACAATGTATCGTCTAAGTGACCGGCTGCCTCCAATTCTTTTATTACCAAACCGACGCCTTGATCCAGACGGGAAATTGTTGTGTATTGAGCGGCAATGTCTCTACGGGCTGGCTCTGTATCTGGGACATAATAAGGAATATCGAGCTCATCCCATTGATAGTATATTGGGTGCCAGTCTGGAATTAAACCCATTCCAATTTCACCCGAACCAAATCGCTCACAGAAACTGCCATATTGTGGTGTGATGTGGCCGCAACGGTGTGGATCATGAAACGATACCATCAAGAAGAATGGACTGGACACGAGATAGAAATGCATGTGAAAAGATAAAAATCAACTTGTTGATTCTATTTGAACAAACACGTATCTTCAGAACTAGTTTCCTACGAGCTACTCACTTTGATCCATTTTGTGCCAGAAAGTCTCGAACAAAGAGCTTGATTTTGGTGATATTTCGGCCGACTTGATTGATTGGATAGGTTTCTTCAGTGCGTTCGTAGTCAAAATTAAAGACACTCGACGGTCCAACATGCTTTTTACCAATCAAACCGGTTCTGATGTTATTCTCACGCAAAATAGTCGGCAAACTTTTTACCGAATCGAAAGCATTGAAGTGATGAACGCCTTGATGCAGACCATACATCCCATTTTGATGGCTTGGCATCCCTGGAACACACAAAATATTTGAATGAAAAAGGATTTGAAAAGAGTAGTCATTGTTTACCGGTCAAAATCGAGGCCCGACTGGGTGAACAGCTACTAACCGATGCGAAAGCATTATTGAATATTAAACTTCTTTTGGCCAATGCATCGAGATTCGGTGTTTGACACATCCTATTCCGATATGCACCCATTTCAAAGCCACCATCGTCAGCTAGCGAAAAATGAAAAGAATTTTAAAATTAAACTTTTGATTTGGAGTACTTGGAAAATAACAAGAAAAAAAAAGTTCTATTAAAAAATCATTCAATTGAAATTCAAACATGACATATGAAGATGTCACTATTTTAGTACCGAGTAAAAAGAGTACGTTCCGATGTTTGTTTGGTTCGGTTTCGTTGCTATAAACTTGACGTGCCACGAAACAATTGCACGTCAGAATGATAACAACAAACAAGCGACGGTACAACAACAAAACCATGTTATGCCTCAGTCGCTCACAATAAAACGATAGTCGTCGCAGCCCGTGTATATGGAACTAGCCGGTATTACTGAAATATAGTGTGCTTTGATTTGAAATTAAAAAAAATAAATAAAATTTCATTTGTGTGTGTGTGTGGGACATAGTGAATTTCGTATAAATTTGTGAACATTACACAGTAGTACTTTTCTGACCCGTAGTATTGTCTCACTCACGTATTTATTCAGTTTGCACAGTTTTTTTTTTCACTTCATTTATATTGGGTACGTGTACTCGTTTTTTTTATATCAGTGACTTAGAAGTGACTAACATACAAAACGGGATAGAATTTATTTTGAGGGTTCATTCTGATATAAAACCACTGAAAAGTCAGAGTGCTTGACAGACGTGACTGTTTTGTCCAATGAAAGGTGTTGCACTGACATACAAAAACTCAAACACAAATACATACGCAATCGACTGAGTTAAATTGAAGAGAAAAAAAACTGCTTATTTACACAAAAGATCTCGCGTACCAATTTTTTGCAGCGTTCATTCACCTTTGCCTCTGATCTTTCTTATTTGCCAAAAAGAGAAAGTGCGGTCTAATTTGTGTGTGAATGTGTTTGTTATCTTGCCAAAAAGTTTTCCATACAAAAAGTCTCATATTTTTTCCACTCTCAATGTTTTGTAGGTAGAACACAATGGTGGCCCTAGCTAGAGACGAGATATTGTTGTTGTTCGATGTGGATGGAACTCTGACGCAACCACGATCCAATGTCGATCCAGAATTTGAAAATTTTATGTACGAACAAATTAAACCGCGAGCAACGATTGGCATTGTCGGTGGTTCGGATTTGGAGAAAATGTTTGAGCAATTGAATGGACGTGGCATTTTGAAGCAATTCGACTATGTGTTCCCAGGTAAACATTATTTTTTAGCCGTTCAAATTCCGAAAATTCGAATAAATGTCACCGTTTCTTTTTCTTTTCCCAGAAAATGGCCTGGTTCAAATTGAGAATGGTGTCGAAGTTGGCAAAGAATCATTGCAACAACACTTGGGCGAAGAGACTTTGCAACGTTTTATCAACTTTGTGTTGCGATATCTGTCCGAGTTGAAGTTGCCATTAAAACGTGGAACATTTTTGGAGTTTCGTAATGGGATGATGAACGTGTGCCCGATTGGTCGCCAGTGCACCAAAGAAGAACGACTTGCCTTCAATCAATACGACAACGAGCATCATGTTCGTGAACAGATGATTGAAGTATTGCACAAAGAATTTGCCGATGTCGATTTAACGTACAGCATTGGTGGCCAAATCAGTTTCGATGTGTTCCCGCGCGGATGGGACAAAACATTTGCGTTGCGTCACGTAACAAAACCCGGAAAGAACTACAAAGAAATTCACTTTTTCGGTGATAAAACGGAAAAAGGTGGCAATGACCATGAAATTTTCATTGATCCACGTACCATTGGTCACAAGGTTGCATCACCCGATGATACCAGACGCATTTTATCCGAAATTTTTCATCTTTAGTTATCGAAATTTCATTGTGATTCATTGAATTCAATCGAAAGAATATTCAATTTTCTTTTTTCCCCACTATTTTTCAATTGTAAATATCAAAATTGTAGGTACATTTCTTTGTTAAATTCCAACGTACATTCCATAAGGAACGCCTGCTTATTTATTAGAACAAAAGTTCAAACACACCGAACATTATTATTAAAGCAATGGTATTGTATTTATTAACATAAAAATGTATATTGGCAAAAAAAGAAAACATTAACGGAACCAAAAATAAAATCCATGTATTCGATTATATATATATAAAAAGTCATAAAGAATATCGTGTTTACTATGTGCTAACTAGCGATAATGTATCATTCCCCTATGTATTTTGGTTTTCGCTTTTCCGCAAATGCTTTCAGTCCTTCGAGTCTGTCTGATGTTGGAATCACTTGGGCATAGCAGGCCTCTTCAATAGCATAGCCCGTGTTAATATCAACCTGTATACCGTGATCTATTGCTTTCTTTGCCATACGCACACCGATTGGACCGTTTGGCAGAATTTCCGTTGCGATATCAACGGCTTTATTATAGGCAGCATCTTTTGTTTCATTCTGTTCCACCACGTGATTGCACATTCCCAGTTTTGTTGCTTCAGTTCCATTCAAAATTTTGGCAGTGAAGATCAACTCTTTTGCTTTGGCCGGTCCAACAATTCGGGCAAGCCGTTGAGTTCCACCCGCTCCGGGTATTATAGCTAATTTTGTTTCAACTAATCCTGTGAATTAAAAAAAAACATGGAAATTTTTAGTTGCTATTTTTCATCCAATTTATATTTAAGGTATTTTTTTTTCTCTTCTCCAACCATTTTTGAATTAATATCTTAATTTCTCTTCAAATCAAACTCATTTTCAAGGAATTTTCATTAAAAAAATGTTTCGTTGTACATTACCTAATTTCGCTTCATTTGACACAGTGCGAATATCACAGGCAAGGGCCATTTCTAGTCCACCACCAAGTGCAGCGCCATCCACAGCGCTGATAACTGGTACCGGCAGGTTTTCAATACTTTTCAGTAGACCTCGAAGACTCGTTACAAATCGTTGTACTTCTTGTGGCGTCATTGTGGCTCTTTCTTTTAAATCAGCGCCCGCACAAAATACATTCGGCAGCATACTTCTGATTATCACTACGCGTACATTTTTATCGTGAGCCAGCACATCCAATGCACCAGCTAAATTATTCACCATCGATCGGCTGAATGCATTTTTCGACTCCGGCTTATTCAGACCGATTATGGCAATACCTTTGTGTTCATCTTCCGTTAAATAGCTCAGCTGAATAAGAAAAAAATTGGATTGAAATTTATTATTACAAGAATTGAAAACGATTGAAAAAAAAAACTATTGGAAATTATTAGAAATATTGCACGAAAAAAATTAAAAATATTCAAAAAATAATTAAATTATCAAGAATTATTCAAAAACCCAATACTATCGATGTATTTTCTTAAAATAACACGAAGCAAATATTCGATTTAAAATAATCATTCTTGACATTAATGAGTTAATGCTTGAAAAATCGTACTTACAAAAACTTCACTGCTATTTGAGTTTGGATAAAAGATTTTCGAATAAAATCTGGTTTGTGGCATTCGCTGCAACAAATTTTGTGCACTTCTGATAAAGAGAACCATTTTGTTAACCTAGAAGTATAGAGAAATGCAAAAGAGGTCAATATTAACATCATGTGCCTGATATTTGTACAAAAATTACGTGAAAATAATGAAGTTTGTTCTACAAAAACAAAAAACCGATAACGAAGAACTAATTTGTGAGGAAGCGATAACCACCAAATTGATTATATACTGAGTATTTATTTATGTTTGTTATAGATTATTTTGAAGAAGAAAATTGGCAAATTTTGCTCAATCTAAATGACTTGGTTGCTCGCTATAAAAAAAATCATAGTGTAGAACCTGGTTCTCAAGTGCCAATTCAGGCATAAATATTCTGTTTAATGACTTTTTGGCTTTATATAATGTTTAGAGCAGCGTTGGAACGGCACGTGAATAGGTCGAAATCAAGTTAGTGTCTATTGAAGAGATATATAAATATGCATAATAATGAGAGAGAATCGATGGAATGGAAATTTTTATTGCCACTTGAGCAAAAATGTGGCAATTTATACATAAACATAGGTTATAATATACCAATAAACATAAGAAATAAATAGTGACAGTCTATGCTTCAATTGAATGATTGAATTAGAAAAATAGAGAAATCATTTAAATCGGTGAGTGTTTGCCAAATTTCAAGTGATAAAAATTATGAAGAAGTCTCATTTTATAAATCCTTTTGTCAGTCACATTTTTTGTCCTTTCGACAATTTTATCTTTATTCCTTTTGTCAAAAAAACACTGCGCGTTTTTTGAAATAATAAAACCGATTTTCTCACAACAGTATTTAATATTTCTCGGCTTGATTATCGATAAATGATTAGCAAAAAAAAATCCTACACTTTGGGACGGAATTATTTGACAAACCATGCGGTTCTCTGCGAAATTGAACGCAAAATAAAAATGAAATTTCAGTAAATCTTAAAAAAAAATTACCTTTTTTCCTGCGCAATAATTCACCGTCTGAATTTTTATAGTCTAATTATAGCTGAACGATTTCACAAGTAAACTGAAAGTATTGACATGTCACTTGGGTAAACAGCAGCGCATCAGCCGTCGACTGTGACTATCTCGGGCGGTGTCGATCAACGAAAAATTATGGAAAATAATCGCGCCCAAAAGTCGAAGTATATATAAAATGTAATGTATGAACGTGCGTTTGAACACAAAAACAACGCGAAAATGAAACAGAAAACCGAAAAAAAATTCTTGAGTTGAGATCACATGTGTGCGTAGAACCGTAGATGTCGATCCTCAGTACTGATAGCAGCTCAAAAACATCGGCTATGAGCTCGGCAAACAAATGTCTTTTTTGAAACTGGATTTCAAATCTTTTATGCGTTATTTCAGCACGAAAAAAGCGAAAAAAATATTTCTGGTCGAACAAACACAACTCAAGCAGTGGCTGTCTTGGGTGCGAATGACATACGAATTCTATGCGAAAATCAATTTTTACTTCGTTCATATGTAAAAAGTCTCTGTGCACGTTGTAGTTTTTATTTTTGGTGTCTTATTTTGTTTTTGTTTTCAATTCGCATTGCGGTTGAAGTGTGATTTGCCTTGTCGTTCGATTCGTTTGTATTTGTGTTTTGGTTCCACACTGTTTTCGCCCACCACACACACTGAACGTAACCGAAATAAAAGTATCAATTTCTATTTTCAACACAGCAGTGTAGCGATATGAACGCTCTGGCTATATATGCGTTACGTTATCGTTTCGTTCGCAAATTTATGCAATCGTGTACGTATGCGTTGCTATTACATCTGTATTAGTTGCATGAAGAGAGATAATGAAGTGGTCTTGTGTGCTTGTATTTGCCCCATAAAGAGTGTTGCGAACTTGTTAATCCGTTTAGTATTGTGACGGCGCGATTCTCCTTTGGAGTGAGGGATAGCGCGCATTTCGTCTTGCACGACTAGAACAACAATGCGTACGTGCAGCTGAACACTTGTTCACTTTCAATTCAGTCGTACAGATTCGAAATGTTTTGATCTTTGGATATTTCCAATATGAATGCACCATAAACAAATATTAGAACGTAAACAACTCCCGCAAAACTGGTTTAGACACAATTTTTTCTACCGGTTCAATCAACTTTTCGTTTAAAATGTCATAACACTAGGTGACCACCCGCAAAATCAACAATTTTTTTATAGAGCATCTGTCTAATATCGTTTTTTTCTCTAAATGATTTATTCGGTAGTCTTCTAAACTCGTTGTATATTTAGCCTTAAGCGATCAACAGAATGTAAACAAAACTGTTGTCCACGATAAACAAGGCCACTCAACTGACAAGAAAAATGATTTTTTTTAGCCGTAAACAAGCAATCCTTGCTGCGGTGATGTTCGAATGGTTTGTGTGTTTCGATTACGAACTCACAGCTTATTTATACTTATTTGCTCCTTGCACCCAATCCAAGTAAGCGTTGACCAAGTCACGTTTGCATTAATTCCACCGAACTGTATGAAACTACGCGAGTTCAAAATACAATCAACGGGAATATTGATACGGTATTGTCATCAGTTTTGACACGTTATTCTCATCGATTCATTCATACAACATCACGTAATACCAAAACGTTGTGTGTCTGGTTAGGAGAATACATAATAATGTTTGCCTAATTGTTGAGTGCTAATATGTGACGAATGGATCGCACGACATTCATATCGTTGCGGAAACGATTACAGACAGAGAATATTTTCTTTAGAAACGAGAAAAAATGTTTTTCTAGGTCAACACACGAACGGATTTTGTCCTTGTATTCAAACCTCCCAAAATGCATCTCATCTTGTTTACGAACAAGAAAAGACGATCATTCTTGACATTGAAATACAGTCGCGAAGCAGCCGAAAAGCAAGTAACCGGATGGAAAGTTTTTGAAAAGCTTTTTTTTCTCTTCAAAGCTCAAACTTCGTTCACAGACATCTACGTATAAAATAGTTGAACTAACGCTTCGGAATGAAATTTTTGCAAACCACAAATTCAATATGCTTTTTTGCACGTTTATTTATCAACTCTGATTATTTACAAATCCAATAAATATGAAATAATATGGCTATTGCAAAAGAAAATCAAGATTGTTGAATGAATTATTTTAAAAAAATGTCCAAGAAAATAGAGTGCACAGGAGTAATGATGCAAGTATTTGAAAAATGGTGAAATTAATAAATCAAGTCACTTTTCAATTGACTTTTCATTTTTGTTGTTGATTTTTTTTAATGTTTATATGTCCCATATCAAAAAGAAAAAAAGAAAAAATCAAAATCCATGAAAACTTAAATTGAAAAATCCATTTAATTCGGTCTACCGTACGCTCCAAATAGTTCAGATAAATATGGTCTTACTTGTCAATTTGTTCTTTACAATTTATTAAGATTTTATATTGGGACAAACGCAGCAAATGGTAATAGTTATCATTTTGGTTTGGATAATTATTATGTGTATAATTTGTATGTTTAACCGACAAGGACAAGGTCTCCTTTGAATTGATATTCGGGAACCTCTAGATTAAGTGGAGCTGGACCTTTGCGAATACGACCTGATGCATCGTAATGTGAACCGTGGCACGGGCAATAATAACCACCGAAATCACCAGCGTTTGCAATTGGTACGCAACCCAAATGAGTGCACACGCCGACAACAATCAACCATTTTGGATCCTTGACACGCTCCTGCAAAGGGACAACAATGAAATTGGTTTTTAGTGAATTTGGTCATCATGACTCTTTGCCGTTCATTCTTTGTTCTTCATTTGAGAGCAAACAATCGAAATGATATTATTTTCATCTACAACGAATCGCAATGTAAATAACATACTGAATCAGTTTGTGGATCTCTCAATTCGCTCAATGGTACGGCCTCTTCTTTGGCAACTTCGGCGTCGACACGGTGACGCACAAACAATGGTTTACCACGCCATGTGAATGTGACCGATTTTCCTTCGGGGATGTCACCCAATTTAATTTCAATGGAACCCATACTGAGAGCATCTCGGGCAGCACCCATGTATTCGCAAAGACTGCGTACTGAGCTTTTACCGGCGTACAAACTAGTTGCCCACAAACCTATTGAAGCGAGTGAAACAACAACAAAGAGTAAAAAATAAACCATAACCATAACAACAAAACAAAAAAACGTTATGCAAGAACAAATCAAAAGTGACATTTGTGGTACAAACCTCCAGTGATAAGGTAATGGTAGCTCATTTGCTTTTCATTGTTGGTGGCACGGGTTGCGTCTTTCTTGTGATCCCATCGGTAAGCATCGAAAGATGGCACTTTAACATCACGATGCGAAGTTGAGTAAAGTCGCACTTGACTCGCAGCTGTCAAAATACAAGAGAATAAATTTTGATTACGTAACATACTGCAATCACTTTTGCAAAGCAGCGAGAGAGAAAAAAACGTCGTAATTCACATTGCGATTCATCGAAACAATATTTTGCGCATTTGAATAAACTTTTTAAATGGCATTACTTACAACCAACGACAACAGTTTGAGCTGCAAGCGAGTTATTTGATTTGGTTTTAATGATGTCGAATGTTTTTGGAACCGAGAGCTCACCTGCTGCATTCACGGGTGTTGAAATTTTCACATTGTTGGCAACCACTTGCGTTGTACCACGCAAGTATGGTGCTAAATTACCCGACTTTGTAATCACATTCATGTTTGCTAACTGAGAAATTGATTAAATCAAAGTTTTCACTGACAAAAATTCAATTATTCACCGATTTTATTGGGGATGTTCTTGTGACTTATACGTCTTACGAATGAGTGAAAAAAAGTCACGACCAACCTCCGTTAAGTTGGTTACAAGCCGAAAAAAAAACGTTATTGGTCCAATGTGTTCGATGCTGTCAAACAATATAGTAGGTGTAGTACACAGTCGCTGTTGACGTACTAGATTTCATCAAATGAATATACGTATTTATTCTGGGAAATTGTTTTTTTTTCATTTCAGAAAAGATTTAAAATTATGTTTAGATTCAATGTTAAAATAAAATTTAATGTTAAATAGTGGAAAAATCCATCGATCTTTTTTTTCAACTTATCCGTTTTATTTTATTGCATTGAAAATGATTACACAGTCTTTAAAATTCAACTCAATTTAACTGAACTGAAAACGAAATGATGGGGAATCTCATTTTTTTTGTATTTAATAATTATTATCATTTGGAGAGGTCAGTTCAGAAATAGATGTTCCATATGTTCACGATCAAAATACTCAAATAGAAAAAAAATATCTGTAGCTGTCTGACTGAGTAAACTGAATTATTAGCTGCGACTTAAAAAAAAATGAAAATTATTATCTGTCTAAAGTCCTTATTAATGCGATTGTTATCGAACTGAAAAGTCTAACTTAAATAAATAAAGTGTTAAATATTAAACATCTAAAGCGAATCAAAGCGCAATTTCTTTTTTCTTTCTTTTCTGTCTCAAACACTAAAATAGCTTCCGTGTTATAAAATTGACGTGTGTTCGTTGTATGCAATCGAATTTATATAATAGGCAATATCCAATATTATTTTCTCTATCTTTCTAACTTTTTGTTCTCTCAGTTTCATGTAAATAGTTTCTACAATTATGCTTCATGCGATCAACACCTAAACGTTAGTATTTAATATAAATACTTAAATATATGATTCGAAAAAAACGGTTTCTTAAATACGACACATTAAACCTAATCGATCGTGTGTGTTTGTTTTTTTTCTGTGTATAAATAGATTGTTCTCAATAAAATTGGATAATTGAAAATGGCATATGGAAGTATATAATAATTTCTTGGCAAATTATAACTGCGGAAGTGTTAGACTTGTTACGAACAAATTGATCTATGCTGCGGAAGGAATTGGCAAAGCTGTATAAAAACAAAAAAACAAAGCAATCTATATAAAGCATTTTTTATCGTTGTTCGGTGGATGGTTCAACGAATGAAATAACACTGCTTTGACTGCTCTCCTCTTCTTCGACCTCTACTTTATGAATGGGTGCTTTTCGCACTGAGCCTCTTGTGATTTGCTGATACAGTTCGTCTATTGACGACTGGCTATCGTTTAAAATATCCTCATTCTCATCATTTTCAATATCCGATTCGGTGGGAGCGATTGCGGTGCGTCTGCCCGCCGTATTGCCACCACTACCGAGTAGTCGCTCCTCGGCTCGAGATCGTAGATGCCCGCTGAAATCATCGTCCAAATCAAAATCACTGATTTCCGACGGTTGATAAGCGAAAAACTGTGAACTATCTCCCGTTAGCGTCAAATTGAGATCATTATCTGGCTGCGGCGCATACAACTCATGACTTCGTATGCTTAGCTCGGAATTTTGATAGTTGATATCACTTTCACATGTTGGGCTCGATGTGAAATGACGTGATATTCCATTCCGTTCAAAGTACAAACTGTTCTCGCTGCCAGCGGGTGTGCTCTCGAGATGGATGCGACGATTTTGAAAACTATGCACAATGCCATTTGATGTGGATGGCTTCACCTGAGGTGATAGAATTGGCTGCACCATTTCGTTAATATCACAAAGGCTCGGCGATATCAACACCGGACTACTGCTGGCTGGGTATGATTCATTAATTACCGATGCAAAACCTTGTATCGTCGGCGCACCAAACAAGCACATATTTGTACATGAAATACTTCGCGTTTGACTCTCTATTGAACTCACTGGGAAATCATCATCGGGCGCCACATTGCACAGCGATTTGGTTTTTCGAATCGGATACAAAAAATCTTGTGGCTGTGATGAAATCTCCAGTGGAGTTGAGATATACTCTTCGTTTGGATCGAGTAGCAGTAAATCGCTCTCTTCACATCGACTTGAATTGGTATGATCGAAGCTGTCATTCAAATCGGTGACGGAAATGGTTGGCAAACCAATTGTATTCATTGCTTTGATTGGGCTACTGGCCGACCGTTCGATGCATGTCGGCAACGTTTTCACCGATTGATCATCGATCGATGTATCGGTTGGATTTGAATCGTTGCACAATGGCTCGGTTTCAAGATTTTCTTGCAATTCATTAGCAGCGATTAGCGATGTTTTATCATCAATATTTTCATCTTCTTCATCGAAAATCGGTTTTTGTTTGCCGTACTTATCGTCGGCTCGCATCGTTACGATTTCATGTTGCGGCTGTATCGTCTCCGGAATATTTGTATAGATATTTGCAACCATTTGTGATGTCGACTGAACGGCCGTATTATTGATTTTCGCTCGATTTTGTGTGATGGCACGTAGATTTTCCGCACCAATGATAATACGGTCGGTGTCCACCAAATCACTCTCATTACAACTGTCTGACAAAATGTTTGGATTTAAATTTGTCGACTTGCCAGAAATATCGGCATTAATCGCACCGATGCTCTCTTTGCTGAATGAGTTATCAGTGAAATTCTTCGGATCAACATGAATATTTGTGTTATTCACCTTACTGTTCGAACTGAACATGGAAATCGGCTGTTGCCGAGGATACGATACCATCGACGAAGCATCGCTCATACTTTCCACATCGCGATTTCGTTGCAGTTCGAAATTATTGCGTTTTTGTAGTCGTTTTTGTTTTTTAAAGAACTTTCGGGCGACATTTATTTGATTTGGATTGTAAAACATGTCGATGCCAACCTCAGAAGCGGGCCCAGTCATCGAACCAGACATGAACTGCTGGCGATGCATTAAAACTAAGTTTACATTATGGCCATTTCCAATTTTGCTCGCACCATTCGGGCTATTGGCTCGATTGAGCGTCTGTGTATTCAGCTCGTACGCTTTTCCCAGCATACCATTGCTTGGCGGTCGATTTTTCGAGCATTGACTATTTGAACGGGATGACGATCGAAGTGTTCCCGTAGTATTTTGGTATGTAACCACTGGACCGTTGGTCGAATCTTTTGTGTCTGACACACTTCGGGTGCGGCAACATTGTCCACGGCCGAAATTACGGCAACTGAACATGCTCCATTGATTCCGAACATCACTGCGCGCCACACAATAGAAGAATATCAAAAATAAACTGAGAAATATGGCTGAAGTGGCAAAAGCAATACTGAAAATCTCTTCTTCGTACGTTATAATTTGATCAGTGAATGGATTGGCGATGCTAATTGCAGCCGAAATCCATGTGATTAAGTACAAAATCAACACAATAACATGAGCCTTTAGCTGAGCACTGTTCGAGTGTTCCAAGTCATCTTGAATGCTTGATGTGGGCATACTCAAACTTATACTTTGGTATCGATCGACGGTTGCATTGTGCTGCGAAAGACTTGGTTCGAGCAAGTCCAAGTCGACATTTTCAGTTGCTTGGGTTCCTTCTGACATATGGCCAACATCGTCCGTGGTTGACATGTTGCATTTGATGGAAAAGTATGCGATTATTAAAAATAGCAGTAAAATGATGCCTGGCACATAAATGGCGCCCAATGATGGACGAGAATCAAAGAAACAGAAGGAATATGAGGCGTACTCTTGAATATTCACCGCACCGCTAATGCCGCAAATGATCATCGCAATGCCATAGCCAACGAGATACAAACCAAGAATTGGTTTACTGCCTACACGCTCCTTGGGCGATTCATCGGATGGAATCGATAAATTTCGCTCGGCCGATCGTGATAGCTTCGAAATTCGCTTGTACATAGCACTTGCACTCACGCACATCCACAGTAAAACACATAAACTGAAATAGTGGATGGCAATGCCGAACACTTGGCACATTTTATAGTTTTCGGTTTGATAAATGCCAACGGTAAATACGAAACTGAGCAATGACATTGACAACCAGGTGTTGACGAGAGCATGTCTTGAGCGGCGGGCCATTTGAATCGCATTCCCAGCCGCTAAATACGTCGCAATGTTAATCCAAGTACAAATGAACAATATTGAACTGCCGATGTAGAATGCAGGCGGTGACAAACGAAAGCGAGCACCTGCTCGTTCGTCCACAAAATCATTTAGGAATTTTGTGTGCTGAAGAAGACCATAGTATCCGAGGCGATCGCAAGTAAACACAAGCAATCCATGCTGAAGCTGCGGCGATTGACAAGCGTCCAACGTCCAGCCACCATTGCCGTCATTCAAATCTGGATTCCACCAAACGGGTCGCGGTGCACTTATCTCATTGTGATATGGATACGGTCGAATCATGACATATATCGGTTCAGTTAGATTCTCAATTCGTTGCGATATTTTGGCACCAATCACACACGATTTCACATGGAATGGCGTTGTTGTTTTGTTATGCGGAAAAAATCCACTATCTCCGAATACTGACACAAGTAATTTCTGCGTAGAAATCGTGGCTGGATTGAAACCGACGGCTGAGTTGAAAATCGTGGCCGGAATTTGAATGGCCGCTTCAACATGACGTTCGTAGATTCCAACACCTTGACCATTCGTGGCGGCATTGCACTGGAAGAGACGTTTCTCATGCTTTTCAAATGAGTCCTCCGTTTTGAACCATGAGCACGTGATACCAGCAAAATTATCGGTTCGCACGCGAAACACTTCCATCGCTAAATTCTCTTTTTGTGCTGGCGGTTGCACAAACTCTGCTGCCGTTTCGGCAGCATCAACCATTTTCGAACACGCTGAATCCATGTTTTGGGCATTTTGAAGCAACATCGGCCCTAATTTCATCGTTTGCGACACGATGTCCAAAAGTATCGTTGCTAAATCCTTTTCAAACGTTACAAATTCCAAGTAGTTGACAATGGTTTTTGCAATGAAAATGATGTCCATTGGATCGGTGAATGGATTGACTCCGGATTCAATATTTGTGTAGTTCCGTAGGCGTATGGCACTCTCTAAAATGCTCCCTCGTGCGAACGAGAAATTCAATTTGGCAAATTGCTCCAAGACTTTGGTCATTTCGTCGATGTATGGACATTGATTTGTATTTAAGTCGGTCCATTCGCCGGTATTACTGCATCGATACGTAGCAATTGCACCAGTTTCTTCGTCGTCCTCATCCAAGCACGGCAGTTTGACGACTCTGCCGCGAATCGTTCGGGGCCACGAGTATTTTCCTTTGTTATTTGATGTCTCTTGAGCTGGACAATATGTGGTTTTTTCGGATATAATCAAAACGGCTATGTTGCGTGATAAGCTCGCCTGATCCGATCGGAGTCGACAATCCCATGTGCCGGTATGATTTCGAGTAACATACGGTATCGTTAGGATTGAATCTAAGAGACCACTGTCTGATAAATGACGGGCATCGATCTGAATCGATGGAAACTTTTTCAATGGATCGTGGTAAATGATGTCATCGGTGGAGTTTGGCTCGAGTATTTGCTCTGACCAACCCCAAAATACATGCGATTGAGCTGGCAGATCTTCGGAATCCGTTGGAGAACCGACAGCCACGCGTGGAGCACGACATCGCAATGTTAATCGATCACCTTCGAACACAAGCTGAAAATTATGAAATACACAATTATTTCGAAATTCGTTCAATTTCTATCATTTTTCGGTATTTTAAAAGAGAAACGTTGACCGGTTTTTACCTGGTCTTGGTCGGGTTTTAATTCAAGCAATGGTTGCACTTGTGTGTCGCAATGCAAATCCTGTCCAACTTTCAACTTTTTCACCAACAAACCACGAAATGCAGCCGGAGTTTCGCATTTCGGTGGCGGTTGAAGTTTCACCGACATATTCGATGACCACGGAATCAGCCATAGCAAATTGCAATCGCATGCTAACGGATTTCCCGAAATATTCCTAAACGGAAAAATAATCACAATTTTTTTTATCGATTTCGATTTAAATTAATTGAATCTTTTAAACTATATTTTGTATTTTAGGCTAGAAAAAATATTATTTTGAATTATTTAAACATATGGTAAATCTCTTCTTTATGAACTCAACCTCTTTCTACAGAAGACAATTTAACTATTTCGAACTGAGTCCGAACTTAAGACAAATGAGAAATTCAACAATTACTAACGAAAAAAAAAGTTTACAAAAGAAAAATATGCTTACAATTGCTTCAGTTGCGGTAAACCATCGAAGGCACCTTGGAATATGTGTACGATTAAATTTAGTGATAGCTTGAGCTTCTCCAATGATTTGATTTCGCCAAAAGTGTTGTTGTCGACGATTCGCAATGAATTTTCGCCCAAATCCAAACGTCTTAGATTCGTGAAATTAGCAAAATCAATCGCATCGATCGTTGATATTTGGTTCTTACTCAAATCCCTAAGACACAGAAGATATAAACAAATATTTGAGAACAATATGGATTTTACCAAGGAACAATAACAAACAGCACTAAACGGCAAACAGAATGGAAATGGTCAACATCGAATGAACATTTTTCATTGAAAACGACAATTTTTTGACCCATTGTTGTGTCCAATTAAAAAAAAGATGCTTCATAAACTTACAATTGCACCACATCATATTTGATATGATGAAAATTGATTTCTTTGATGCTGGTGAGTTTAATTTGTGGTGAACCGCCGCACTTCACTTTCAACAAACTTTGGCCGACTCGGCTGCAAACGCATTTTTCGGGGCAATCACTGTGATTACTTTCGATATTTTCGGCAAAAATAGAGCACAAACTGGCGCAGACCAACAATAAAATGAGTAAAAAATTGTTGGGCATTATGAGCGGATAGCACACCAAACGCTGCACAGCCCAGCATTTACATTGAGCTTCCCTTGTGTGTCTTTTCTACTTCTTTGTAATAAAAATCAATCGGTAATATCAGCGCAAGCACAAATCTATATACACACCCAAAATCAATAGACACCGATATACACAAATTCAAAGTAAACGAACAAAATTGATTTGATTTGAAAGAATGATGCACAATAATTTTGGGAAATATTTGTTATTGTTCAAGATGCTACATTGTCCATGTTGTTCCGTGTATTGCATTTAATCCAAATAACAGATGCAAACAGCATCACGACATTGTAATCAATCGGCGTAATAATCAAAACGACGATTTGCTTATTTTTCCCATCGTTCTTTTTTTTTCTCTATTTCCACTTCACTCGCACTTTAGTCCACAAAATTCACACAAAACAATGATGAAATAAACTGTTGATGTACAAATTTTCCGAGAATTGAAAAAATGAACCGAAAAAAAGGAGATAGAGAAGTAAAAAAAATGTTGTTTTTATGGTTTTGGGATGGTGTTCTGTTGGTTGCTTGTTCTACGAGTTTCGGTCATTGTTTGATGTATTCATCGAACACATACACGCATTTGCATCTCGGTTGTTTGGGCGCATTTTCATGTATGTGAGCGTATGTTTGCTACTCGATGTAAGTTGGTGTGCGTGTTGAATATCAGCAACTTCACGTAGAACATTCGTTGACTTTGACAGTTAAACGTAGCAGATTTTGCAGTGTGCTTGAGATTTGACACTCAAAATGCGGTACTACTGCACCTTGTGCGATTGCCAATAAATGTATATTTGTATGGCCATCAGTGTTGGTAAAAGAAAGAAAAAAATAATATCATGTTACAGTAAGACATGTGAGCTTCCACATTAAAAACAATAACAATCGCTTGGTTTGTTTAAGTGCACACGATAAAATGTTTAGTTTTCGTAGAGCAGCGTCTCGGACGCTTAATGTAGTCAATGAATTTAATAATTCCGTTAAATATCAGAATCACATCAATGAGAATCTAGTCAAACATATCAATGCCATACGGCTGACGCAATCGGTCCAATTTTATTCAAAAGATTTAAAAGCCAAGCCCATCGATGCAAAGGAAAAGTTTCCAAAATCCATTAGTGAAGCAAGTCGTGAATTGCAATTGGAATTCAAATCCGAACTGGGGAAGATTGACACGAAATTATACCTGGCCTATACATGCAAAGTATGTAATACTCGAAATAGCAAGACTATTTCGAAAGTCGCTTATACGCTGGGTGTTGTAATTGTACGGTGTGACAAGTGCCAAAATAATCATCTCATTGCCGATAATTTAAAATGGTATTTATCCATCATCATATATTTGGAATATATGCGGTTATTCATTATATATATTATCTTAGGTTCACCGATTTGGATGGCAAACGGAATATCGAAGAGATTTTGGCGGAAAAAGGGGAAACAGTTCAACGCACTTCATTCGGTGAATTCTTTGGCATTCGAAATAAAACAGCTGATAAGAAATCAATTGACGATGAGAAAAAAACTGACGAAAAAACAGCTGAGAGTGATGAAAAAGAGAAGAAGACAGCCGAAGGTGACATAAAATCGGAAGAGAAATCAGCCGACGAAAACAAAACCGTCAAACTGTCGGACGAACTAAAGAAAAGCAAAATTGTGAAAGAAGCATCATCTGAAGAACAAAACGAAGAGAAACCGGCTCTGTTGGAAGATCTCTCGAAGAAAGCTCAGACAATCAAGCAAAAAGTTACGGACATTCTACGAACGAAGAAAGAAAACTAGCAGTGAAAGTTCAGTTTAGAACAGGAAAAAAAGCTAGAAGATAGTAGATTTATTATGCAATATGAATTGAAACAATTCCATTTTTTCATAGGTATACTTAAAATTGTATAGTACCTTGACTACATTTCATTACAGTAAATTTTATGCAGAAGATTAGGTTTGAAAAAAAAAGAGTGAAATTATCATAGATTATTTCACCTTATCACTTAATTAGTTCGGAACATTGCTGTATATTTTTATGATTACTCAAAAGTACAAACCGTTTTTATGTCTAGGTCAAAAGACACTCAGTAAATGCCATATTCCGCACTCGATTCAACAGCTTTATACAGCGACTTATCAATGTTTTTCATTTTCATTAACCGCAAATCGCAATTATACTTAATTCTCTGTACGTAGCGTAGCGATAAAATGTATTCTGAATCAGAATTTCTGATGTTACCGAATTGTTGATAGTTGAACTTATATTTTGAATGGTATATTTTAATGTTGGAATTATTTTTCTTCGTCTCGAATGACTTTAACACTACTGACTCCTAGATACTACTGTTATTTTGCCAATTATTGTTGAATAACGCATAATTAATATGCTCTTCCATTTAGAATTTGACAAAAAAAACGAATAAAAAGGGGAAAAATAAGAACAAGCTTAAAAAAGTTGTTTGATTTGATCAATACAAATGTGTCTGTGGTTTTTATTCATGCAAACGCTCTTTTCGACGCCACTCGGTGTCTTTTCAATAATTATTCACCCGAAAATTGGTAATCTTTAAATCTCTTTTGTATCATGCAGAAAAAACAAAAATATCGAAAAAAATGAAGATTTAATTTTACCAAGATTGTATTTTTGTCCCTCCAGCAAACTATTCATCAAATGCTCTATTGGATTGGTTCAATAACCAAATAAATATGAATACAAAAAAACGCATACATATTCATGGCCATGATTTCTATTGCTTCGTTTTTTTTGACAAAAATAAAATAGGATCTTTTTCGCCGTAGGCAATGCGATAGGCAACAAGCCGAAGTGACAGTGTGGCTCAATAATTAAAATAACATTCACAAGTGTGATGAAAGAGGGAGAGCAAAAAAGAAGATCCAGTTATGCTTTTTCTTACCTTTTATAATGTTAATGTTAATGTATTATGAATCATCAGTAGCGACCGTCGGTGCGCTTTATTGTTCCGTTCCGTTCCGTTCCGTTGCGGTTGAAAGTACTCTCTAATAATAATAATGATGAAAAATACATAAATAGAAGAACGTGAGATGATAAACGTATGAATCACCATAGTCATTGTAGGATGGTCTACATTCCGATGCTTCTAATTTACATACGCAGGCATCTATATGTTTAGAGCGCGATTTGTGATAAAAACGCACTCAACCGTAAATGCGTTGTCGTCTGCAGCCGAATCAATCCAAGAGTCACATACCTTTATGATCCATACCTTACCCGTTCCGTGGCCATCACGTAAACTGTGTTTAGTATATTCTAACCTCCCTTATCACTTGGGCATGTCTACTTCCAATAAAAATTATTGTTTAAGTCCAATAAGAAAAAAAAATATCTAAAACATAAGAAAAAATCCTAAATGGAAACTGAAAAAACTCAAATTTCACATAAAATCTGTATTTATTGCGTTAAAAAAATACAATGTAATGACTAAAAGCAGTAAAGTGTTGAATTTTTTTTGAAAGTTTGAATCTTAACGAAGACTTGATACAATTTATTATGGAATTGTGCAGCACAAAACACTTTGTGCCATTCGAATGCATTGTTTTTCTACCTGATACGACACCGTCGGATGGTGCAATGTGGCACAATGTTTGATTGTATGTAAAAACTATGATAAAGTCTTAATTTAAACAAAATCTTCTTTTTCGTTCGGAATGAATGTGAATTTCAGTTCATCTGTATTTTGGAATTGGCTTCTGTGTTTTACTTTAAGTAATGCATTTGATTGAGACTGTGTATGTATGGCAAATACATGGTTTTATATTTATATACTTTTGCATTTTATCTCTTTATATACTAGATATCGATCTCTCCCTTTCGCTCACATCAGTTATTTCTCATTTGCAAAATTAAGTAGTTTCTCCCTCTCTCTCTCTCTCTCTCTCTCACACACACACACACACACTATTATTTACATATATCCTACTGAAAATCGAAATTCAGACCGATAAACAATCAAATTGTGAAGTTTATGCATTAATTAATTTTTTCAAATCATCACAGTCCACCAGTTAAACGCTCTTAATTATTGTCGACACGAATTTTGAAAGATAAAATTAAAGTCACACATTCTTCACATGTATGACTCAACAATAATTTATCTCAAGTAAATATTTAAAAAAAGAAACATGGTTATGGGTTCGAAATGGATACATAGCTGCCGAAACATTGAAAAAAAATTCTGTTCACACAATTTACAATTAAACATTTACATTGAATAGAAATGTCACACTGTTATATAGCTGCTTCAAAATGCAAATTTAAAAAAAATTCTTGAAATCAAAATAAAAATTTCATTTTTATCTAGATGCGGAAGTAGAATAAGGTCTTCTTAATGTTTTATGACTAAACGATAGTGATACATGACTAAAATACATGAGTGCTTGTTCAAGACAGTTTTCGATTTATTCTCCTTCTTCTCTCTAATCTCGCTAATGGAAATGGTAGCGATATGCTTACACGTCTTTTATTTGTTTATGTATGGCTAGTGTTTAGTTTATTTTCAGCTTCAATTTCTCATAGAAATCAAACTTGATTGGATTTATTGACAATGGCATAATTGAGGCCATTGAATTTTCGATGATTGACGAGATCGTCGGCGCTAGACGAGGTTCCGATGCCGATTGTATTTGAATCGTTGGATGTTGGTGATTTCGGCGACGAATTGATATTTGTTATTGGTTTTCGAAGTACCCCATATCCCATATGACTGTCGTCGGCCAAACGATATGGCTTCGGTTCAATCGTTGGCTTGCCATTGTTGGTGGTCGACGTGGTGGTGTTGGTAGCGTTGGTTGTAATCGTTGCACAATCGCCAATAATCTCATAATCATTCGATGTGATCGGTTGCGATGTTTGCTTCTTGTATGCCGGCGCTGTAATTGTCACAATGGTTCGATAGTCATTATTTGGATTGATTGGCTTCGCTTTTGGTTCAAAGTTGAGCGTATCGTAGTCGCCATTTTTCTTTCTCGTCGACAATAATTCAGCTTCATATGCAGTCATAGTGACTGGCATTTTGCGAGCCGAACCGAACTCCTTCTGAGATTGCGATCGTTGCCAAACGAATTCGGTAATTTCATCTTCAATTGTGCTCGAATTTTCCGTATGTCGAACATCATTTACGCCCAACGTTTTCCAAGCGCTTGTAATATTTTCGATTTGCTCATAGTTTCGATCGTCGTGAATCATACTTTCGTAGCGGGCCGGTATTCGTGGTGGTTGATCAACGACGGGCGAGTGAAC